TCACATGATGTATTCATTATATTTCCTATTTTCAGGAAAACTTTCCAGTTAATTAGGTCAGTTAAAAGAGCAGATTTGTAGTTTCTGCTGAAGCCTTCAAGGTAGGGCAAATCCTTGCACCTTAGTTAGGCTAAAAGCAAAAACAATTGTGACATTGTTACCTGTTTTAACAATAAAATATTATCAATTGTTTGAGGTTTGAGGTTTACTTTACTTACTTAATTCAAGATTAATATGGTTTCTGTCACCAAATATGGCTAATCAGTGTTTCCAATATGAATTTAGAGTAAAAGTAAAACAGAATTTGACTTTTGTTATCTTATTGTTAAAATACAAGTATAATATTCGAATACCTTTTTCACAGTAAATTTTTTAAAATAGTATGCATTACAAACCATCTTATTGAGCTATCAATATTTCTTAAAACTTGATAACATGGTCAATAACATTCAAAATAATCTGCATTGACTTTAGGAGCAGTAGAGAGGCAGAATCCATTTCCATGGACCAAGTTCTAATGGTTCTTGGCCAAAATAGAAGGACAAAATTTAGTATGGTATAGAAAATTTAGTAAGTGAAGCTGCAGGCCATAGCAAGCCTGAGAGGACAAAATATTGTTCATCTTGTTAGGGCCTTGTTTCTGTAGGAAATAATCCAAAACAAAGCACCCAAACACCTTTTCTTCCTTTGTTTATTAACAGAACTAAACCAGTTTCTTAGTTAGAGGCATTAAAGCAATTTATGCAGTATATTGTAAAGCCGGATAAGCATAGTTGGTTTTCTTCCACATCCTTGATTCTTTTCTAATTGATTGTCCATTAACACCAGCAAGAAAAGTTCTTGTTTCAGTTGAATACTGATCTTCAAATTTATTTTATCATTATATGTATTTGAACCCAAAAAATTGTGGCTTTTTTATACGTCCACCAAGCATGATAAAATGATCCTGCATGTCATCACATTTCCAACATAAATTTGAAGTACCCTATATATTCTAGGGAATTTTTTCTGGAGTCATATGTCATTTTATAAAAATTCTCTTTTATGATATAATATTCATTTTGATCCTTTTAACCACATATTTTTCCATTGTTTCTAGTCATACATTATGTAAGTTTTTAGTCCATTTTATCATTTATTCTTTCACTACTTCTTCCACATCAAATTTCAGTATAAATGTAAACATTTTAGCAATTATATGTTTATCACTTGTACATAATTCGACTTCAAATTCTGTCTTCTGCTGCTAAATTCCAAATGTCCTATTATCTACTAAGATTTTCCTTCAACTGTCTACTCAAAATTAAAACCATTAAAAACTAAATTTATCTGCAGTCAATTGTTCTGATTTCATCTTACATTCTCCATGTCCCTGCTCTAAAATTCTTTAGTTAACCAATTTTCTTTACTTACTTTTTCTCTCCTGCAAAATGCTTGTTGTGTTGAGACTCTATCTTAACTATTGGTAATGAAGTTATCCTAAGCTTGTACTTATTTATAGCTTTACCTGCAATCCTGTTTCTACTTAGAGATGAGCAAAGAAGTTAATTATGGTGCTGATATTCTTTCTTGAGCTAAAAAATATGGTCTTCTTTCTTAAGCCTTCCTTGAGGCTTTATTGAGATATCTATGTCAAGAAGACATGCCCCTCTTTTTCTCTAGAGTACTTCATCCTCTAGGATCAGCTATCATCTCTTCTTCCCCTAAATTCTTTCCTCAAGTCTAGCCAGCCCCTCCTTTTTTGGGGGGGAAACTATCATTCCTCTTTCCTATGAAAAAGTTTCTGCCTCCGAGAAACATTGGTAATCTGTTCTTCTAGACTTTACAAAAGTAGCATATTACTATTTTTAGGTCAGTGGTGGGTTTCAAATTTTTTTACTACCAGTTCTGTGGGTGTGGCTTGTTGGGCATGGATTAGTGGGCGTGGCAGGGGAATGTTACTGTAAAATCTCCATTCCCTCCCCACTCCAGGGGAAGGTTACTACAAAATCGCTGTTTCCTCCCGATCAGCTGGGACTTGTGAGGCAGAGAATAGATGGGGGCAGGGCCAGTTAGAATTTTTACTACCGGTTCTTCAGAACTGGTCAGAACCTGCTGAAACCCACTTGTTTTAGGTATGTGTGATGTCTAATCCTCTTTTGTCCATGCAAGAAGAGTAGTTGACATTCCCTGCTTGATTGTTGAGTGACAATCAAAGTTGACATTCCCAGCAGTTCACATTCCCTGCTTGATTGTTGAGTGGAATTGCATCTCATGTTTGTGCAACATCTTACTCTTCATTATACAAGCTTTTGTTTCCTCTTTTTATTATAGTTAATAAAATCCTAAATTTGTTTCCTTAGTGCAATGTTTCTCAAAGTTTCTAGTGATATACCACTTTCTGCAGTGATGAAATGTGGAACCCACTCAATTAAACACACACTTTCTTCAACTTTTTGTATTTAGTACATGAGAGCTCATTTACTTAGTTTTAGAATGAAAATAATAATAAAAAAATTAATCTAAAATTAACCACTTGAATTATGTACCTAATACCATATAACAGCAGCTCTTAGCATTAAGCTGTTGAAAAATATTCTTCAGTAGAAAATTCTGAGTACAATAGAACTAGGGGCAAGTCAGTTTTCAGTCCAGTGAAATCCTATTGCTCTGTTTCTGATATTTTGGAGTTCCTTAGGCAAGAACACAAGTTAACTTATCACAGAACATTGATTCAAAATCAGTAATTACTCTTAAGACCAATTCACTATTATCATTTTAAAAGAGTTCTGATGGCACAGTCCTTAAAGTACTTTAAAGTATTTTAGGCAAACTCTGCCCACAGCCAGAAGTTCGATCCTGATGGGGCTCAATGTTGATTCAGCCTTTCATCCTTCTGAAGTTGGTAAAATGACCTAGATTTTTGGAGACAACATAATGATGTTGTAAACCACTCAGAGAGTGTCATAAAGCACTATGGAGCAGTATATAAATCTAAGTGCTATTGCTATTTCCATCAGCTCTCTGATTTTGTAAAAGTCATACTGGATCAAAACTTTTGTGTTTTAATGAACCACTGAACCACTTCCACAATGAATCAGTAACAAGAAAGCTTGGAAGTTAACATGGCAAGGCAAAATCTTAGGTGGAAGTGGGCTCTGAGCTGCTGTTTGGCAGTGTTGCAAGGATTGAGTTGATAAGTGGCTGGTCTAGCCAGCTGTCTAACTGTGAAAATAGAAAGGTGGAGTTTTGAGGCACTGAGAGAAACCTCTGTAGACTACTAGTTTCACAATCACTACTTTAGTGAACTCACTGAATTTCTTGTTCCTTGGCTTAGAAAACAAATCTGTATGTGCTTGTTTCAAAGATAAGACACGTACACAAGTGTACCCAGTGAGCACAATTAAAACCAAAATTAAAGAAGACTTTATAGCTTTCCTTCCTTTCTCTCCAACATATTAATTATTTCCTTTTTTTTTTTTAATTTGATTTATATGCCGCCCTTCTCCGGAGACTCAGGGCGGCTTACAATGCGTTAAGCAATAGCCTTCATTCTTTTGTATATTTTATACAAAGTCAGCTTATTGCCCCCACAAACTGGGTCCTCATTTCACCTACCTTAGAAAGGATGGAAGGCTGAGTCAACCTTGAGCCTTGGAGAGATTCGAACCAGCAGAAATTGCAGGCAGCTGTGTTAATAACAGAGTGCACTAAACCCCTGTACTATCAAGGCTCCTTGAGGCCCAGGTGATGATAAAGAAGAGAAAGTTCTCTCTGTTGTCTTTTTTACAACTTAAAGATTTTCTATAGCTTTAGAAGAACCTCCTTTACTAGCCTCATTGGTAGAGCAATAGCCAGAGACATTTATGGGTAGCAAATAATGAAGGCATGTCCTGATAAAAAAAAAAAGATGACTTAAACATTTACATCAACCACTAAGGATGCAAATTAAGGATGGAATTTACATCATGATGTCACTAGGCAATATAAGTAATAATTTGGCACAATTCATTTTGTGCAGATGCCTATAGCAGCAGTCTTAAGGAAAGTGCAAGATGGACAGGTGCACCAGAGAAATTGAAAACCTAGAAGGTGGTGCTTGGATCTGATTAGACTGGAATTTCCAAATTTTAAATTAAAATGTCGGTGTGTGTGTACCTTTGAAGACTATTTAGAAACTGTACTGAGTCCTGTAGAATGCAGCAAAATCTGGCACTCATTTTTTTAATTGCTGTATGTGAAGCACCAGTATAGAAATAAAAAAAAATATACTGAATAAGCAATCATTTTAAGACTAGTATTCAAGCATAGATTGAATAGACTAAACACATACAACACATACACACATATATACACCCACTCCACATACATAGGCACAGACACACTTTTAGTATTTTACATCAATGTATTACACATACATTTTAATTAATTGAATATGAGCCGAAGTGGTGCAGTGGTTAGAATGCAGTACTGCAAGCTACTTCTGCTGATCACCAGCTGCCAGCAGTTTGGAAGAAGGCGGCTCAAAGTTGACTCAGCCTTCCGAGATCGGTAAAATGAGGAAATGAAATGGTCTCTTTTGAAAATGTCTGAGAAATAACAAAATCAGTGGATAAATATTCTGCTTTTTCATCCTGCCCATTGGCAAATTTTTCTAATTTGGATGAACAAACACATTTGGTAAAAAAAGATTACAGGACTGAGAATCAGTTCTCTATACCTTTTGTAAAGATTTTTGCCTTGCTAGTAAGATAATTATACCTGAATTGCTGAACATATGTTTAAATGAGTTTATTTGAAATGACAGCAATGCTCAATGTAACATCACCTTTTTGAAATGGAATATGAAACAGAAAAAAGCGTATTGCCACATTCTCAGTGAATCTAAGCTGACTTTTAAACCAAATTATTTGGAGAAAGCTATTGTCTTTTCAAATATATTGTTAGTCAACGAATAGAATTTTTATGTTAGAAAGGCTGTTTTAATGCAATGCTTTATGTATTTTCTTTCTCTCCTTTAGGCTTTGGACTTATTTTGTGAAGCTTGCAATGAAGTGTCTTTTAATGTACCTCATAAAATGAAGATGGGAATGTTTATTGGCAGAGGTGAGATAACAACCTCCCTCCCATGCTTTGTAGACACTGGAATTTGAATCTGGGTTTTGTAAAAGTGTTTTACAGCAACAGCAATTTGCTAGAGGCTAACAATATCATCACTGTAAGTGGTAGCTAGAAAAGTTCTGACTCCTATGATTTAATACAAGCATGTATTTATTTTAAATTATTTAGGCCTTAAGAGTTATATCCCCCCCCCAATGAATTGTACAGTTGGGTCAAGCAATGTAGTGGTTAGAATGGGGGGGTCAGAGTTTAAGTTGTCCCCAAATATTGGGTGATTTTGGATTATTCTCTATGCCCTTTCTCTTTTCAATTGGTTTTTGAATTTCTTCTTCTTTTTTTCTTACAGTAAAAATGAAACATTGTCTTAATGATACTGGAATTATTGGCATAAACAATCCCAATTTTATAATTCTGGAAGATGGTTCACTGTATACCAAAAATGCTATTTCTTTGACTACAAATGAAAGTATCGTTACTGTATTTTTAAAAAATATTTATACACATGAGCAAAAGCGGATATATGTTAGCTTGCTAACATACCCCCAAAAGGTATATATAATTAAAATATATTATATACATACAATTTCTTTCATCAGTGAGTGAATCTATCACTCACTGTCACACACATATTATCATCCTACTTGCATTCATTTTACTTTATTTGAGAGTAACGTAACAGTAAATTTAATAAAGTGAAAATGGGACATTTAAGTATGTTGATAAAAGAACAAGACATGTGCTCAAGAATGAATAGGTGATGAATACCCATGGATGTTCAGGAAGAAAAAAGTATGTCCAGTAGACTTAATGATGTAGAGAGAATGAATGAGGACTGAATTGCATAACAAATATAACAGAGAAAAGTGAATGGGTTGAAGGCAAAAGATGTGGTTGGGTGGAGTTAATGACATTCTCAAAAATGGAAAGGTGAGAAGTTTAAAGCACAAAAGGCAATGTATGAAACAGTTTATTATCATAAGGATGGTTCGCAAGGATAAAGAAGTGTTGGTATAAACTAAATTATTAAAGTATGAGAGAAAGCCATAGATCAAAATAAATAAAAAACAAAGCATCCAATATAAGTCCCTCTTACAGAAAGTAATCATAACTGGATTACTTTTATTTTTATTTATTTATTAAATTTATTTGCCACCCATCTCATATCAAAATGACTTTGGGTCATTTAGTTTTAAAATACTAAAACCCTAACAGATAAATAATTCTAAAACAATAAAAATAGAAATCGCAATCAAATTATAGTTAAATAATGGGAAGAAAGGGAACAGGATGTGTGTGGGCAAGATGGGATTGCCTCTTAATTCATCAATCACCTCCAGTGTTATGCTCCCCTGCTAGAGCTTCAAGCCATCTGATAGAGCCAGGTTTTTAGGCTCTTGTAGAAGATTGGAAGGGTGGGAGCTAATCTCGCCTCAAGGGGTGAGATGTTCCAAAGGACAGGAGCCATGACAGAGAAGGCCCTTTCCCTGGACCCTGCCAGTTAGAATTCCTTGATTGATGGAAGCCTCCTCTGCCAGCAGGGTTGGGGCAACCCAGTTCAGATGGGGTGAGGCAGTTCCTCAAGTAATTTGGACCCATGCCATGCAGATTCAACGACATTTAGAAATAACTGCTGCAGCCCAAAATTTTATCTCTTTTCTAGAAAATTCAAAATATACAGTAAGAAATGCACAGAAACATGATGGGAACAGTTCAAATGGTTTATGGTTAATAGGGAGATTAGCTTTGATCTCCAAGATATATGAGCAACTGATTCAGTTTAAATATTTATCCATATATTATTTAATTTACCATTAATACCATCAAAACAAAGTAATTTAGCCATGCTAGTATTATTGGCCTTCTATACGAGGCTCAATATTGTGCTGAAGGTGCATCCAGTCCTGTCTTAGGCATGGAAGTCAGCAGGGTGACTTTGGGCCAGTTACTGTCTCTCAGCCCAACTCATCACACAGGATTGTTGTGAGGAAAATAGGAGGAGGAAGGAGTATTAGATATGTCCATTGCACACACCGGTAACTAAGCTCATATTAAGTAAATTAAATTTGATCTTTCCTTTCCTTTTTCTTATCTCATTTTTGATTGCCTACCGTTTCTTACTTATTTTCTGTGCTTTGCATAATGTTGCATATTAGGAATATGTATATGTTTTATTTTCATGTTTGCATTGCATCATTTAGCATTTCTATTTTATTATATATAAATATATATTATATATATATATATATATATATATATATATTTATTATATATTGTTTATATGATGTTGATATAAAAGTCAGAATGTGAAAATGTACTGTTAGCATTTTTCTTAATTTATGGATTCTTATGAAATAAAAAATGGATTATCAAACAAACTTGATCAGCGGCATTAATGTTTTAATAATTGGAAAAACAATTTAATTGCATAATCTGAGATGTAAAGTATTAAAATTATTCTAAAAAGCAAAAGAATTATATTTTTCCCTCAGTACAATTATGTTAGGAATTAATATTACCTGTTACATTATAACAGAGATTAAAAGATGTAACTAAAAACAAAAGCATGATTGTGATAGATATGTATTTAGGTTTCTCTCTTTTCTAGGACTCTAAAACGAAGAGAAGACGTGTCCGAGCAACTGTTGTGGGACGAACAAAACGAAGATGGGCTCCAGTCCCAACTATTATAATGGAAAACTCACTAGGCCCTTATCCTATGCAAATTCAACAGGCATGTTTTTAAGTAGTCTTCATTTGACATTTCAATGATCTCCACATCTAAGTTACACCTGCCAATGAATGAAATGTAGTCATAGAAGTAGTTTTCTTCTCAGAATGTAAATTTTTTTCCTCCTAATTTTCCCAATAGATTGTTATCAACCTTTAGTTTTTTAAAGCACTGGGGGATTCTTGTTTGAGGAGAAACAAAGTGTCTCTGCAAAATCCTTTGCAGTGCTGAAGCAAGGCAAAGTACCTCCATGAGGCAAAGTGTCTCACCAAGCAAGGCCTATCACTTGCAAAACCGCAGACACATAATATACTCATTGTTGTGAGGATAATATTTTCTTTGTTGTAATCTGAAGAAATCTATATGGTACTTAAACTAAAGCATATACGGCATATGAAATGCATTCTACTTAATTTCAGAAATGAAATTAAATTGCTACTAAGTCGATCTAGAAATAACATGCATACAGTAACATCTGATGGAACTCCATATAAGAGTCTACCAATTATAAGTGCCCATTAAATTTTTAAATGATTTTGTCTTTAGAGTTGATTGGCAGGCCATAATAGCCTTTCCACTGCTAATTTTTTTTTGAAATTAAGATAGTCTTAGATGCATTCTGAAACAGTTTTGTTGAGATAGCCTACTTGCATTATAGACCTTTCATTGAAATATGAGTTTGATCTAGCACAGTTAATATGCTATACCATATGCTAACCCATTTGGTTAGCAGGTTACAACGTTACACACCTTATAAGGTGCCTATTGTGCACCGAAGTGTATGTGATCTTAATGATCTATAAAAAAGTCCTTTGCTATAATTCTTAGCTGTTCCAATGCACAAAATATTCTTAATGAATTTTCAATGAATTCAGTTCAATTGAAGTGAATTATGTAGACAAGAAGTAAAGAATTATATTTGTCAATCTAATTTCATGTCTTTATTTTCAGCTGTCTTCTGACATGGCACTAAAGTACAATATTAGATATTTTATTACTGGTCCTGGTGTTGACAAACCACCACTGAATTACTTTTACATTGAGCAAGAAACTGGAAATCTCTTTGTTACTTGCCCAATAGATCGAGAAGAATACCCAGAATTTCAGGTATGTGATTCTGTGCATAGACATAGACATATATACACACTACACAAATAATGATATGACTCTGTATGCACTGCATAGATTTAAGAAGGACAGACATATGACTTTGATCTGTCAATATTCTTTGAATTTATATTTAAGAATCAGATCCATAATAGACAGCTAGTATGAAATTAATTAAATTGTGTTAATATAATTACTCCCTATTTATTTAATAATATTTACCTCCTGTTACATTAAAAATTATTACTTGGGGCAATTTTTGGAGAATTCTTGTGGTTATACTTAAAAAGCATACTTATACAATGAGAATTATTTGATTGTAGGAACTTTTTATATCTGAGGTATGGGATAAACAGCATTAACTTGTTAGTCAGTCACAAAGTTTCCTGAGCACACAACCTTCTTACCAGGTTCCTTCAAAAAAGCTCCTAACTTTTTCCCTATAATCCAATCCTGCCAGGAAAAATAGAGAGTTTACAAATACCTAGAAATAAAGAACATATCCATGAGAGGCTGTCCAGGTCCACCACTAATCTTATGGATATAATAATGGGTTGTAGAAGAATGCAAACCTTATAGTTCTTTCTCAGTTCCCACCTGAACTTTCATTTTTCTTATTTCACCCTTTATCATTTTCCCTGGGTTTATATTGATTTAGCCAGTGTCTTATCAGTATTCTTCCATCAAGTCTCTGTGCTTACACAAAGACATCCTTTCTATGACCTTTGCATCTTTCTCCTTTCCTTGATTATTTAATAGGTTCTTTTTCCTATTCTTCTTCTTCTAATGTCTTTTTTATATTTGGGCAACTTAAGGCAGGGAACATTTATTTGGAAAATTTATATTGCCACCTACTTACTCACAGGTGACTCAAGCTTATGAGAAATTAAAACACAATATAAAATGAACATAATAAAAAAATAAAAATAGTAAAATAACCCCAACTCCCCATCCCAGTGACAACACATATTCATACCAGCCATTTAATGGACTCCATCCCACCCTGGGTTCCCCAGGCCTCCTGACCAAACCACCACTTTAGAGCCCTCTGAAAGAGTGTCGGGGTGAGGTGGGGGTCAGTCTAATTTCTGGAGGGATGATGTTCCAGGAAGGGAGCCACCACGGAGAAGGTCCTTCTTCTCGTTTCCGTCAGATATATCTCATTAGGGACTGGACCTGCAACATTCCTTGCCTCCTCACTCTTAGGGAAATAACTAATATTTTCTGTTGATTCTTTCTTCTACCAACGTTCGTAACTATCTTTTTATGTTTATGGTTTCTTATGTCATTTTAAGTTAAAATAGCTTGCTTTGCCTTATGCCCTTCATTTACTTAATCTGTAGCTCATCTTTATGTCTGATACTTGTATGCTCTTTACATATTTTTTTAACATCTCTAGAACTTAGCAATATACCTTGCTATAAGAAAGGAGTTTACTAATGCAGAAGCATTCACCCTGTGCACATACAAATATGGTTAATAGCTATTCATCAAAATAAATTCTGTACAGCACATGGATTAAATAATTGTGTCCTGATTTATCAGAAATTTTTCATTTGCTACAGAGGAATAAGTGTTTCTTTTATTGCATTTTCTGCAGCTCATTTGCTATGCAATGACACCGGATGGATATACCCCAGAAATCCCACTTATTCATATCATCAAAATAGAGGATGATAATGATAATACTCCAGAATTTGAGTATAATATTTATACTTTTCATGTACCTGAAAACAGTATAATTGGTAATTGAACTTTTAAATAAATCTCAGATGACGGATTTGGAATACAGGTAGCTCTCATTTAGCAACTACAATTGGGGCCAGCAACTTGGTTATTAAACAAAACAATCACTAAATGAAATTGTGACTATGCTTTTGATCTTACTTCAGCTTTCATTTGCTTTAGAGACCTACACAGATTGTAAATGGGAGGATCGGTTGCTAATTTCTTTATTTTCACCATCACAAGGTCACTGCACAAGGCCATCAGTAAACGAGGACTACCTGTATCTGTTTTGATATGTTTTGTGTGAAATTATCACAGCAGTTATTTAAATGCAAATATAGACTTTGTTATTGAGGAATGCAAAATTTATTAAAAATAAAATATGATGGTAGCAGTAGAAGGGTATGTTTAATAACATGTCAAATAATTTTTGTATGGAAGTGCCTTGCCTACTTCCTAGGGCCAAGAGAGTATGACTGACCCACAGGCACTTTATGCCTAAAATGGGACTAAAACTCAGTGTCTCCTGGCTTCTAGCCTGCTGCCTTAACCAACAGATTGGCTAGAGTGATATTAGATGGGGAAATTGATGTAATTCACTTTGATATTTGAATAATGTGGGCAAAGCTTTTCTTCTAAAGAAGAAGTCCTGAATATTATAAAAATCAAAAATTGATGCCTTCTATATACAGGAACGTTAGTTGGACAAGTGACTGCATTGGACAAAGATGAGCCCAATACACTGCATAGCAAAGTGAAATACAGAATTATATCCCAGAGTCATCAGAAACTTCAGGAATTTGTTATAGATCCAGATTCAGGCTGTATTACGGTAGCGTTACATCTGGACAGAGAGGTAATTTTTCAATTTAGTGCAATACCAAAAACTGTGAAATCATAAATGAAATAGCCTAAAACTAATAAAGTATAAAATAGATTGGTCTTAGATAGAATAGCTGTAATAAAGCTGAAGTCAAAAGTCCTTTTGGTAGTTAGAAGTTATATAGATATTGTGAAGCCAAGTTCAGATAATTTAGTGGGTAATTTTGGAACAATGTCTTAGTCTGTCTGACCTACTTCATAAAATATGAAGATATGATGTGGGATAGTGAAGGGAATGAAGCAAATATATCACGAGTATCTGAGCATTAAACAGGGCCAGGTTATATTTTTGCAGAGTAACCTTTGGATGATATGGCAATATTGACTAAATTCTTAATTAAGTGAATAATCCCATGGCCTTTGCTTTTGTTGTTTAAAAATAAGTATTTTTAATCAGCCCAGGAAAATTATTATATTTTTTTCTAATGTTCTTCAGACTATGTCAGCATACACAGTATACATAGAAGCAAGAGACATGGGAGGTGAGGAGTTTGGTTTGTACACTACAGCAGCAGTACATATTGAGATTAAAGATGTAAATGATAATCTTCCTCAAATAGCACAAAGTATGGTAAGTCTATCATAGTAAAACCTATTGAGGATGTTACTTCTGTATGATATTTTTAGGGTTTTAACCCAATTACAGTGAATGTTAAATTTTAAATAATTGGGCAATTCCACTTACACTCTGGAGTTTCTGTTACCCTGCTTTCATTATGCATGTCCCAAATTTGTTTCACCCTTCCAAAGCAAATTTTGGGGATGCCATGGGATTGGAAGGGTTAAAATTTATTTTACCAATGGACCAGAATCCATTCAAAGAATAGAGATAGTACCAGGAAGGTTAAAAGTCAGAATGAGGAACAAAAAAGCATCAAGTATGCTTAACAACTAGATGTTTAAAAAAACCAACATAGTAAAAAGCTGCTCAGTAACATGACAACACCCTAGAAGGTGACAAAGAAATGTAATAATTGTATTTTGGCACAGTCTTCTCTAATAAGAAGGTAATGGGTGAAAGGGGGGGGGTTTAAAGTAGAAGGATTAGAGTTTGAGATAGTCAGAAAATATTTATTAGCTTGGAAAGAATTTTCAGGGTGAGATGAATTCTGTCTTGTACTTCTGAAGAAACTTGTTGATGCCTAACAATTAGCTATATTATCTGTATTAATACTTAAGGATGGATAAACTGCAAAATGATTGGAGAGCAAATGATGTCTTTGCTTTTTTAGAAAAAAACTGGCAAAGGATCTGAGCAATTGGCTAACAAGCCAGGTAAAACTGAGCAGGATCACATGATTATTAGATGAATCTTATCTGGCATTAGAACTATTCATAAACTAATATTTGAAAATTGTTTTTTTCAGTATATAGTGGAGATATATGAAAACATAGAACATGCAGAAATATTATGTATTCCTGTTGAAGATAAAGATGAACCCAGAACATCGTCATGGATGGGTATATTTGCTATTACTAAAGGAAATGAAGATAATAGTTTTGCTATTAGAGTTGATCAACAGCAGAATATTGGGTGTTTAAGCACTTTAAAGGTAACTATGGATAGTAAAAAGTGTTATTGCAATAATATGATTTAAATTTTACTTAATTTTAAGGTGTGAATTACTTGTTGAAATATATTTTTCATCAATTTCTAAAGATATATTTTACATTTTTAAAATGTAATACTATTTTCCATTAAAATACGTTGGGGTAAAGGAGGGAGAGGAAACTCAAATGAAATTTTAAAATAGTAATAGACACTGTATTTTCATCAATAACCTTAAATCATAGTAGTAAAATGTCTTAGTAGAAGTATATTTATTTGAATAGCGTTTACTTCCTCCAGGAACTGGATTATGAGAAAAGCCATGAGAGAAGATTAGAAATTGTCATAAATAATGAAGCACCTTATTTTCCACCTCCAAATTCAAGAGCTCTTCAAACAAGTATGGCGAGCATTGTGGTCAAAATTAAGGATCAGGATGAAGGACCTGTATTTGAATCTTGTGAATATATTCTATACATAAATGAACGCTTGTTGGTTGGCACAGTGGTTGGTAATTACCAAGCAATGGATCCAGAAACTGGAAACAAACATTTGAGGTACAAAATTATTATATTGTTTGGTTCATTTATAGGTTGTAACATAAAACAATTATAATTAACTTACATTGTTATAATAAATTTGAAGTACATAACCTTGTTAAAATATTTATTCTTAACAGTTACAGAATAATAAAGGACCCATGTGGTTGGATCACCATTGATGAAATAGGAAACCTCAGAACAACTGACATTTTAGAAAGAGATTCAAAAAACATAGAATACAGTCAATGTAATGTAACAGTATCTGCAATTGATCAAAGTGAGTATCAAATATTGTGAAATGTTGGTATTTTTGCTACATGCATAAAGCTACACGATGTGGCCTACAAAACTCTGATCAGATACTGATAGCTGTATTAAAATATTTTCTTTTATTGTAATCTAATGATCACTCAATTTTTTGCAACTCTGATCTGTAGCCCTAAGTAGACAGGTCTAATATTTGAAATCCATTAATTGTACATCTTTTTTTAACTCAATCTCCTTTGGATTGTTTCACAATATTTACTTGGGGTGATTATTTGACATTTCTTCAAAATCCATCTTTTTTAGGTGTAGAGCCTGAATTATATTGTCTATAGTGGAATAGAATCATCCTTGTCCACCCTACCCTGTAGTCTCTGCAGGATCTCGTCTACCAAGTAGAAAACCATGAGCTGATTGTTATTTAATTTACCTTTGCATTTATTAGATATTTACTGTACTTTTCTTCTGAGAATGTAGGCAACAAATATATTTGGCAGTAATTCATTCTGTTAGCAATGTATAATTCTGCAGTTTAACAAACTACATTACAACTCTGTAGATATGTGCTGGAGCTGCCAAAAAAGCCTATGCAGTCCTAGACTGAATCAACAGAGAAATAGTAACAAGTTCACATTAAGTATTACTACTGCTATATACTGGTTTGGTAAGACCACACTTGGAATACTACATCCAGTTTTGGTCACTGTGATACAGACAAGAAGTTGAGACTCCAGAAAGAGTGCAGAGAAGAGTAACAAGGATAATTTAGGACAAAGGAACTGGCTATGTCTACTCTAACAAAGAGAAGGACTGGGGATAACAATGATAGCATTCTTCCAATATTTCAGGGGCTGTCACAAAGAAGACGGGAACACCCTCTTCTCCAAAGCACCTGAGGGCAAGACAAGAAGTAATGGAAATGTATCAAGGAGATCCAACCTAGAACTAAGGACGACAAGAACAATTAATTAGTGGGACGGCTTGCCTCCAGAAGTTATGGGTGCTCCATCACTGGAGGTTTTGAAGAAGAGATTGGGCAGCCATTTTTCTGGAATGCAATAGGGCAGTGATGGCTAACCTTTTTGCCATCACTTGCCAAAAGCGGGGGGAGCGCGGTGGGGTCACACGCATGCGTGCCCACATCCATTTTATGCACCCTGCCCCCCCATGCTCCCCCCTTTTGCCACGTGATGGCATAGTGGGCCCGGTAGGCCCGTTTTTTGCTCTCCCCAGGCTCCAGAGCCTGTCTAGGAGCCTGGGGAGGGCAAAAACGGCCTTCCCCTCCCCACCTAGAGGCCCTCTGGAGGCCGGAAACAGTGTGTTTTCTGAGTTCTGGTGGGCCCAGAAAGCCCGAAAATCAGCTGGCCAGCGCATGCATGTGTGCCAGAGCTGAGCTCGTGTGCCCACCGAGATGGCTCCATGTGCCACCTGTGGCACCCATGCCATAGGTTCACCATCATGGCAATAAGGTCTCTTGCTTGAGCAGAGGGCTGGATTAGAAGATATCCAGGGTCCGCACCCACTCTATTATTCTGTTACAATGGTTTTCTTCCTTTGGATTATGGATTAGCACAGTTTGTGAAATCAATAAAATGTTTTATTTAGCTTTCACAGAAAAACAATACTTTTGTAATGTTATATGATTGGATCAAGTTACTTTCATTACTGTATTAAACTAAGCATTCTAATTTACCTAGGTGGTAAAACAGGAAATGGAACAATTGTGATAGCACTTATGATTGAGAACAATTACCCAGTGAGTACCAGTAAACGCTATGTCATGTGTAAAGATAAAAAACCGATCTGTATAAACGCCACTGACATTGATTTGCCAATGTCCACTATACCTTTTCATTTTGAAATAGAGAAGCCAATGGACTTAAAATGGAAGTTAACTCCAAATGATGGTATGTTTTTGGTTTTTAATATCTACAAAATACATTGTGATTAACGAAGTATCATCTGAAGTGTAATTTGTGGTTTTGAATTATTTCTTTCATAGATGCATCAGCATTGCTTTCTCTAGTTGAAGATATAGACTATGGCTACTATTCTATTCTTCTCCGAATATGTAATGGGGAAAGCATCAGAAAAAGTGAAATAATAGTTCATTATTGTGACTGCATAGTTCCAAGTAGCTGCTCCGAATCCACCACAAACAGGTCACTGGATTATTCTCCTTCAGACATTCAAGTAGAGCGCACTCCAGCTGCAGCACCTGTTTTAGGAGCTTGGAGCATTCCTGCAATGGTCATGGGTTCACTTACAATGCTATGTAAGTATGCGTAGGTCTTAAAGAAGCAACATGAACTGTGAAGGGTCAATCTACATTCAGTCCTTGCTTAGCAAATACCTAAACTATCTTTAGGTTATATAAAAAAATCCATTTTCCAATAAATGCACATATTTCTGACCAAATTTTGTGTGCTTAATAATGCAAGCCAGAGAGAATGTGACATATGAGGACTTTATTTAAATGAGATGGCAGCAAGCGATGATCTTTGCTGTGTTGCTTTCAGTCACATGTTCACTTATCAACCATTTTGCTAACTTGATTGTTGGAACAGAATTTTATTGCTATATGAGGAGTGGGTATATATATTTTAAAAATATAGCTAAAAAGAAAATCCTAGGTCAGTGATGGCAAACCTTTTCGGCACCGAAAAGGGAGTGTGAGTTCATGAGTGCAGCACCAAGTGCTGAAAAGGGAGCACTTTGCGTGCGAAGGCTAGCCGATTGTTGCGTGCGCATGCGCACCTGGAAAAGGAACGGGCAACACCACATGTGCCAGGTGACATGGGTCCGCATGCCACTTTGGGCACATGTGCCATAGGTTCGCCATTACGGTCCTAGGTCCTAATGTAGGGGATAGCTGCTTATTTCCTACCTATGGCTACCTATATAGCCATTGTATCTAAGCAAAATTCTTTCTTTATAAAGATTTTTTTTGTCTGATCCATGCTTCCTCTGCTTTTATAAAATTAAACCCCAACTTAATTTCATTATTTAATAAATTGTAATTTATGTATTTATTTAAAATGCATAAATAAGCCGTCTTGTTTTCTGTATTTTTTTCTTGCAGTAGGCTTTGGTGCACCTTATGGTGTTTGGCTCTATAGAAAACGTCACACATCTCAGGAAGAATCTGATTTAACTTTTGAGAATGTAACAAGATCAAACACTGAGGCACCAGGTGAAGCAAACACAAGGCCAAACACTGAGGCACCAGGTGAAGGAAACACAAGGCCAAACACTGAGGCACCAGGTGAAAGAAACACAAGACCAAATACTGAGGCATCAGGAAATACAGTAAGTGACACTTTGCCTTGTATACTAGCAAATGTAACAGATTTATTCTGATAGATTATGTGTAAGAGAAAAAGATACTGTCTCATTGTTTTAGAAAGCAAAATACATTGCATTTGTATCAGTAAATTGGGGGATTGTGATGTGCTCATATGCTTAAAGCTAAATACTACTTTTTGTACATGGGAATGTATTATCTATCATCATCCTTTTCTATTTAAATGTTTAGAAGTGTAAATCTTCCATTAAAAAACTGCTCTGGCTGAACTCAGAAAAGGTAGATATTCTGAATATTTTGACAGAATAGAATATTTACGAGTCAGGATGAACTGTGAGGTCTTTGGTGCTCTCTGAACTTGGTGATTTCTTGCAGAAATTTCATTAGCAAACTAGATAATGATAATGAATACAGTAATGATGTTATCTAGTTTGTAACTTTATAGCCCAGTACATCCCAGCCAGTGGGGTCAACCATATGCTGTTCCAGTTAACTTATTACTCTGATCATATGAAATTTCAACATATAGGTTTTTTGGTGTTCTCTGACCAAACTCAGAGAGCACCAAAAACATCTTGAAGTTTCATATGATCAGAGTAATAAGTTAACTGAAACATTATATAGTTGATCCCACTGGCTGGGATGTACTGGGCTATAAAGTTATATGAATCCTGAGTGTAGGCAATGGATAAACATTGTGAAGAAATGGATGACAGTTTAGGGGACAAGTGAATTATTATTCAGCCAGTAAGCACACTGGAATATACAATTAGATCTGGGTACAGACTGTATTTTTTTTCAAAAATGTAGAATTTTTTTCTAAAATAGAATGAAATTCTATTGTTATTCTTCACATTCCAGAATTTAAATATATTTCCCGTGTCAACAATGAATAAATTCATAAATATGAATACAGATATAATAAAAACTGAAAGGAAAGATTTGGAAGCAGGAAAAAGAGGATGGCATTCCACATCAGAATTAATCAAGGGAGGAAAAGTGAATCATTTGGCACTATCTTTACAAAACTGTGCGCCTTCTTTAAGGAATTCATTCAAAGATTTCTGTTTAGAATGGCAGAAGTTCACTAACCCTCGCTTATCTGAAGTAAGTGTTCTAACACAGATTTCTTACAGCGTATAATTTTCTAGTTTTGAGTATTACAGAGTTGGAAAGAACATATTGGTTTTATGCCATTAATTTTAAGGTACTACTACTACTAAGGTATCACAGTTCTTAAAAATAATCCAAAATGGGTGGCTTTACAAAAAACAATATTATTATCCCATTGATATAAAAATAGTATATCAATTATCTAAAAGGTGAGCAGCTAATCAAGCAAGAGACAGGAAGCATGATGAAAATCAGCACAATTTCCCAGATTTTGCAGCAATCTTAATTCATATATTCCCATTCTGGTAACACATACAAACATTTACATCAATTCACACAGCTATAGGGAATCTGAGACCTGAAGATAATACATCTAGAATATACCATATAGGGGAAAACAGCTGTTAACATGCTTCCAATATTTGACTTGAAAAACTTAATGCTGAAATTTAAGACAAGCACTTTAGGACAGAATTACAATGATAGTTGTATTCTCTCAAATAAAACAGTACATTCTTCTAAAAAAGATACTTTTTTTAAAAAAAATCCATTTTATTATGTGTGTGAAATTTAGTATGTATGATATAGATGACGAAGAGGTAACAGACAATTAGAAGACAACGTATTTTTGCATGATACACATATTTTTAAAAATTGTGATTATACTTTTATTGTTCCTTGTCTAGATGGTATTTCTTTGTGGAGAAGATGAAGAACATAACCTGGCTAAAGAGTATTTACATGCATATAAGTACGAAGGCAAAGACTCACCAACTGGTACTCTAAGTTCCTGTACAGGAGAGTCAGAAGAAGAAAAACTGAGTTTTTTAAACCAGCCAGAACCTCCATTCCGGACATTAGTTGAAGTTTTTGTACAGAAGGATTGCGTTTAAATTATTCCTGAAAATCAGCACACTTCACTAGGAAATTCCCCTGTGCAGATTCCATTGAAATGAATGAATGGTCTTGAGAAGCCCTAGTTAACTATAATGAAATTGAAAAGAATTTCTTCCCCACAGTTGTGTCTACCCATTTATTCTTTATGGGATATTTTGGAATTTTTTAAAGAATTATTTTAAACAGAGTACAACGGAAAAAATGATTTAAATTATTAAGGATTTGAAATCTCTGACAGAAATTGATTTATGTGAATAATTCAATTACAAATTTACTTATTTTTACATCCTTAAATAACTATGTTGTTCAAAATGTGTATTATAATTTAAAGTACAAGTATTTCTATACCCAATCCACTATCTCCTTTTGAGGTAAACAGTGGTACACAAAATGTATAAAAAGAATGTACTTCAGGATTTAGAAAACTCAAATCCTCATCTTTAACTCATACTTCAAGCATTTTCAAAGATATCTTCAGAACAGGAGAATCCCATAGAAATTTATGGAGTTTTCAAAAATATGCATGTATTCTCATTCTCTCTCTCTTTCCCTCTCTGTATTAATTCCGTGCAAAATATAATATATTCCATTATTTTGAGAAACCTCTTTAAGATCTTACTCATATTTAATGTGCTTTGAGAAATATCACTATGCTATAAGAATACTATATTCAATACATATAGAAAATGTATATTTTTTATTATATTGAAAAACAAATTTTTATTGGCCTCAATTTTGATGTAAACCAATCATCATAAAATTCAGCATCTCATCTATCTGAAATACATCAAGGCCAGAACTGAAGTTTGATATTATTTATTTGAAATTAAGCAATGCAATGTTATCAAGATACAAGTAGTCCTTGACTCATGACCAGTTGCTTAATAACCATTTGAAATTACAATGGACTTGGCTTGCTTTTAAGACAGTCCAACAGACAGAGGGGACACTGTGAATTACAATATTTTTCCTGGCATTTTTAGTTGGTTTTCAGCAAAAAAAGCCAATTCAGAAGTTGTCGATTTGCTTAACAACTGTAGTGATTCACTATATGACTGCCAGAAAAAATGTCACAAAATCAGGATGAGTTATGTGGATCCTCATCTTAAGATGATCCCAACTGTGGTCATAAATTGAGGATTACCTGTATATTAACTTATATTTTTAATTAATTGTGAGATAAACCATGTGCTTTATTATTTTGACTGATAGCAAACACTGGCTATAAAAGTACATTTAATCAAAGGAGAAACTGAGCATCTTTGTCCAGTACCTTTATGATGAAAAGGAGATGAAAAAAAATAATCTTCAATTTAGATTGAAGGCCACTTGATTTCATATTTAAGCCATTTAATAAATTCTATAGATTTTTGTACTAGGCTCATTTAATAAATTTTGTAGAAATTCAAATTTAGTTAATATAGTATAACATATTGCTTAACCTGTCTCTTCATAGATTTTGGGGGGATGTTCTGCTTTCATAAAGTGTTTGCATGAATATATGCATTTCCATCCAGTTTTTATAGATTTTCCTGTAATGAAATGAAAATGATAAAGGACTGCCACAGAAAAACTATTATTAGATGTATTAATATATCAATGATAAGCTGATGGCTACTTCAATGACATACTGGACTTACATACAAAATTATATATTTTTCAATTTGTGCTCATTAAAATTGGCTTTAAAAAGTTAAAAGGTTACAAGCTCCTTTCAGAAATAATGGCAGAAATCAGCATGCATAAAATCCATACCTATAATAGTTATACAAACACAGGTACCACTTTAACTCTACTGTTTTAGAACCTGTCAGTTTAGTGGTATACCACACATTTTATACTATATTATCACTTTCTTCCCAACTCCTACGTATTATTTTTATCTATTCAATGAAGCTGATGATTATGCTGAAATATACTGATTATACTATCTTAGTCCTATGTTTGAACTTCTGTAGTACTTAACTAATCTAAACATGGATATTGAATATAATATTTATTGCTAGATGAACAAATTAAGCATTTTATTTAACCACACAGCTTCACATAAGCATAGGTAATATGAAGAAAGAAAAATGAAGATTAAGTGTAGATTTCAGATATCTACTTTCAGTACACATATAAGCATGCATAAATACAAGAAATTACGAATACACAGATGCAGAAAAGAAAACAGAAACAGCCATGACAAGAAGGAATATTGAGTCTGGTGCCTTATGTATAAATACACATATGCTAAGTATTTGGATTACTCTGGATCAAAATAAAATAGACTTATTTCTATTTCTTCAATAAAATCATTTTCAAGAACAGTGATGTATACTTTGTTAGTTATCACATTTTATTTACTGAAATAAAAATATTCCAATAAGAAAACAGGAGACAGTAATACAATAAACAATTCTTACTTTAAGATCCAGAGGTTTATTTCATGAGCAATTTGGAACATGAACAGCCATCAAAACACAACTTACATCAATAACCCATTGCAATGAGCTGGAGACGATAGCTAGGTCCAGCAAGGAATAGCTACAGCCAGTGGCCCTGATCTGAGACACATCATCTTCTTTTATACCTTTATTCAGATGGCCCCTCAGTAAATGGAATTTTACTGAAGTTACTTCCCTGTACCTTATTAATTAGCACATACCTGTGTGTACATATGAAATCTCCTACCATCTGCTACTTTCAGTTCTTTTTTTCCAAAGCTTCTTAATGTTCCTCATCCAAAATAGCCTCTGAAACTATTTATTTCACAAATACGTGTTATAAAATTGCTTTAGCATAGCTGATTACAAATATTACAAAAGATTACCAATTTGACCATTCTTGCTTAATGGGGAGTTTTTTCTGTAGCAATTTCCTTGGCCTCCCAAGATCCGAATCAAGGCAAAAATATGCTTGCCTTGACACTCATGCAGATGATCTATTTCTAGTGATGGTGAATCTATGGCATATCAGGAGGGCCTCCGAGGGGGTGGAGAAGGCTGTTTTCGCCCTCCCCAGATGCATAGAGAGAATCTGGAGCCAGGTGAGAAAGAAAAATGGGCCTACCGGGCCTTCACGTGCCAGGAGCAGAGGGGGGGGAGGGGGATGCGCTTGCATGAGCAGCAGGGCCGGATTTTCCTATAGGCTAACTAGGCTTCAGCCTAGGGCCTCAAGATCAAGAGGGGCCTACATTCAAATTGTTAGCAAAATTAAAATTACACTTTCACTATAGGTGAAAGGGCCTCATAAGTGGAATAGCCTAGGGCCTCTTTTCATCTAAATCCGGCACTGATGAGCAGGGTGGGGTACATAGAATTATGGGTGGGCACGCGTATGCGTGAACCTTCCCCCCCTTCCTGGCACATGATGGCAAAAAGGTTAGCCATCTAGTTAATCAAATGAAAAAGGTACTGTATGAAAATCTTGATTAAAATGTTTTCAGATACTATGTCTTTCCCCAAGCATACACTTCTATCAATAGAATATATATAGCTCACAACACACTTCTATATTTTAATGAACTGCAAAAATAGCCTAGGGAAACAAGAGGATGTGAGCAGCAGGCTAAACAATAATTTGATAAGAGAAAATTTGAGTCCAAAGGAAGAATGGGGAGAGAGAAGGAGAATGGGGTGTCAGAAGGGACTCTCCCTAGTTTTCTGAAAAGTAAACAAAGCCAGAAATGCTTTCAGATTTAAAGATTCTGTTGCTGTAACCTGAGAGTTAAAGTGTTTCTGGTTTCCTGTCTGAAGTAATTTGAAGGGCTGACAATATGTGTGTTTAACTTTGCATTTCAAATAGGTAAATGTTTATCCTGCCACAATTTCAAATGCTAAAATGTTCTTAATAGTTTCTCAGGCACCATTGTGTTAGTCAACACACTGACCCCCATTGTGTATATTAAAGAATTTCTTTTGAAGACCACCTTGTTCCCGGAGATGGCTTATTCTGTAAAATTCCAAATTCTATTGATAAACAAGCTCTGTAAGAACAGCGTATATTAATTTAACCCAGAGTTGAACAGGAAAAAGAAATGACGACCATTGGTGAAACAAGCCTCGAGTTGCCGGACGACGCGGCTAAAGAGAAATTAAAACCATTGAACTTCCTACTTGAAAAAGCGAACGAGGTTAACGACGCCCTGAGCCAAATGGGATTTAGGAACAAATATATTCAGTCCTTTCAACTCCCTTTTTTCAGGAAGGAAAGTCCATTCGTGGAGGGAGTTTTGAGGGCGTCGTTTCGAAGTTACACCGCTGCAAGCAGACTTGTCTAAAGAGAGTAAGGCCAGCCGAAGGCAAAGGCAATTACTAAGAGGTAACGAAGTTGAAGGAGGAGCCGCCTTTCTGGTTCGCCTACCCCGATCTCACACATTCCTGTGCTTATGCAGTCAGGGACAAAATAGGCGGGCCGGCCATGTAATTCCAGCTCTTTTCCTACCTTCCCAAAGCTGGGCGGGGTTGGGGCTCCATTCCCTGGTCAAATAGAACAAGGGAAACTAATTAGGTTATCTCAAAGGTGCCGTACTAACCTTCCTCCCCTCCTTTGGCCCCACCCTGGCTAGGAGCGAAATTCTACTGCGGACGGGAGGAGCCGCCAGCTGGAGCCTGAGCAAACCAAGAAAGGCAGAGAAAACAAAGTCGTCTCCTCCTCCTCCTTTTCATTAGGGCCGCCCTTGGAGTTGCAGCCGGTGAGCCGGGCGGGGGAAACCTCACACTCACCTGGTCGGAGCCGTCAGGAGTTCGGCGTGCAGCCCAGTGGCCACAATTCCCGCCAAACCGCCAGCCACCGGATATGGTCCCGCGGGCAAGAACAAGGCACGGAGGGGGCCCGGTTGGAGCCGCTTGCTTCCAGCTCCTCCTCAGCCTCCTGGTGAGTGGGGCTCTCCTGGGAAGGGTGGGGGGAGGTCGCCTTCCGGAATGAGGGGAGGCAGGAAGGTCGCGGGAGTGGCAGGCCAAAATCCCACGAAGCCCACGCGGGACCTTGAGAGGTTTGCGCTCGCCTGTGGCAAAGGCTAAGTTTGCGCCGATGTGGAACTGTTTGCTTGGAGGAGCGCCTGTGCCGAGTTGCGCCCTGGCGCGGTGGAAAGTCCGTTTGGAGATATCAAAAGTTTACGCCTGGCATAACACTGGGGGAAAAAAATACTGTTTTGTTTTCTTTCTATTCTTTTTAAAGAGAGAAAATGCCAGTTAAAGGCAAAACCTTAAAGGCTTAACCTTTTCTTTCACTCCTTCTCTTTTTTTCGCCCGCACGTGTGGGAAAGAGAGGGTGGGGGGGAATCCGATAAATGAAATTGTGAAGAAGGGCAGCGAAGTAAGAGGATTGGGTGGAAGGTGTGGCTGGTTTTAAAGAATGGGCATCGACTTTTCCTTGGAAGTGAGGATCAAACTATACCAAGCGTGGAATTTGCTTTTAAAATAAGGTGACGGTCCAAGGCTACTTCACACTCCTCCCTTCCAGAACAAAAGATGATAAATAAAAGTTTATCCCTATTTTCCTTAACCTAATACAAAGGTTGAAGGGTGGATAGGCGAGTAGGAGTTCTTTAAAAAGTTGGAATTTAAGCAGCTTTTGAGTCATGTGGGAAGAAATAATGCAAAGAAAGAGAAGATAGAACCAAATATTGTATATTTCATACCCTGGAAGGGCTTTATCTTTTAGGGTGCATATAATTTTGAAAGAGTGGCATTTACCTTTTGCAGGCTTTGCTGCACTATAGTTTATTTGTTTCTTTGATTTGTCTGGGGTTGTCATGAAATAATGTTTTCTGTTTCCTACTTGAAAGCAGTTATTTACCTGTTTATACCAATCAGATGGTTAATTTGCTTGCATATCCCTATGCTGAAACCCAAGGAAATATTCTGTCTCTGGAGAGAAAACACCAAGATCATTATAATGTTTAGGTGGTACTCCATATCTTGGAGAAATGAATTTAATATTGAAAATGACTGTATTTATTTGTCATGAATGATAATTTTAGATGGTTATTCAACAAAATACGGAAGCACATGCTGTATAAATTAACTGTTTATGAACTACAGTGTTTATATTAATGACAAAAAGGAAAATAAGGAATTAGCCAAATTCTGCAAATGAAGTGTACGCACACTTCTTGGGAAGTGTATTTTTAATGAGAATATATCCTGCTTTAATTTCAAAAAGAGGCAGTGTATGCACAGTTTAGTGAAATTGAAATATTTAATTATTTTAGAATGCTACTCCTTTGAATGGAAATATTTATACTGATTTTCCTGGATCTATATTTCACACACTGTAAAACACTCTTTGTCCAGGTTAGAATTGAAAAAAATACCTTAATTGATACTGATACATTCAAGAAATATATTGTAATCATAATGAGCTCAAATAGTAATGATTTTGAAAAGCGATTAGTACGTTTTATTTCGAATAAGAAGCAGAACTTAAAAATACAATTAACTCACTTAAACTGGGTGTGGTTGCTTATGTCATAAGAATAAACTCCAGAATTTCTATGTTTAAGTTTTGAGAGTAAGCATAGTTTGACAGTTCAATTAGTAGGCTCCCCCATATTCTGGAATGATTCTGGAATAATTTCCCCATCCATAGACCAAAGGACCCAGTTCTGCTTTCCTTTAAAAAGCTGTTAAGACCTGGCTTCTTTGTCCAGTTGAGTTGAGTGGATTGAGTGGTGTTTCTTTAGTTGTTTAATTATGATCTCCCTTTTGTATCTTCATATACGCACATTTTTTAAATGTGGATTTTGGGGCAGGAAATATTGCTTGATTTGTTGTATACCATCACATACTTTTAGTTGGATGCAGCTGTAAATCCAGTAATTCATTATTCAAAGAGACCTACAGGTATTTTTATTTCTGATAAAACATGAATGTAATAATTAGTTTACTAACTCTAAACTCTTTTTACTGATTGATGTACTTTCCAATCTGACAGTCCATATATGAGCAAGGTTGTTGTCTGCTTCGTCCTAAGAATAATGTTTAAATGTACATTTTACTGCACAATTCTGTTATAGTTGCATTCCTAGATCATATACTTTAATTTTTTTATGAGTAACAGGTAATTATAATATTTGCATTTGTGCTCTATCTAACCCTTTCTCCAACAAGGTAATGAAAATGGTGGTAAAAATGAGTGGTTGAAAATTATCAGAAAATTTAATAACAATATTAATAGAATATAATTTTTAGTTCATAGTACATTCCTAATTAGAATGGTCGAACTATGCTTACTCTTAAAACTTAAATATAAATGTGAAAATCTTTGTATTATTCTTATGACACAAGTAACTATGCGGTTGCTTATTCTAACTTCATAGATAACTGATTTTAATGAACATTTATGATTATTTAATGCAATAAAAACAATGAATAATTTTGTATTAAAACACTGATTATTGCATTTAACTATAAGCATCTAGTTTATGTGCATCTAGTTATTCTAGATAGAGACATGAGTTCCATTCCTTTCTTAGACACAGAAGTCAGTGGATTATCAGTTATTGTCTCTCAACCCAGCTCATCTCACAGAACTGTGGCAGGATAAAATCAAATAAATAAATAAATAAACCATTCATTTATTCCCCTTTCAAGATGATAAAATGCTTTTTTCTTCTTTTTATGGTAAAGTGCTTTCTATTTGTAGCCCTTTAATAGTCTTTGCTACTGGTAACATTTTATATTATAAGCAAAGTAATAATTTGAGTTAATGGTATTTAATGAAATCGTGGTGTGCTCTTGGATTTAACATTTAATACTTGGCAATATTCCAAGAATGTTAGTGAAACCTCTTTGTTCTAATTAATGAGAAATGTGTACTGTTTATATTAAACACTACTTGTAACTTATTTGCTGACATTTGTGTTTGCAGCAATAAATTTTATGTCTTCTGATAATGTTGAAAAACTAAGCAAAATTGGACCTTGTTTATGCTTGATGAGAGACCTGAAAATAACAATGCAGAATTAGACTAGGAAGCAAATAATAATAATAATAATAATAATAATAATAATAATAATAATAATAATAAATAATAGCCAAAGGCAAACTTTCCCCTGTTCTTCCATACAAAATTGCACGGATGGTTTCATAAAGAAACTGGACTCAAAAGAGATTCTTCCTTAAAGAGTTTCCAAAGCAGGGACCATAGCCCATCTCAAGTACAATATCATTTCTGCACATAACCTTTTAAGAAGGATTAGGTAAAGAAACAAATGGGTTTAGTGAAGAACAAAAAGATAATAAAAAAATGGGAAACTAAAGTTATGTGAAAAAAGATTAAAGGAGTTGACATGTTTAGTTTTGAGCTTAGAAGATTGAGGAGAGATAGAACAGCATTCTCAAATACCAGAAGGGATGTTATACAGAAAAGATCAAAAGTCATTCTCTTTCATTCCAGAGTTTAGGACCAGGAATAAATAATTTAACTTACAGAAAATAATTCCTCTTGAATATTAAAAAAAACCCTTTCCTACGATAAGGACAATAGGACCAGTTAATCAGAAATATAAAGTGCCCCTATTTATTGGATATACTTAAGTAGAGTGGAAGAATCATCTGCTCAAGAACCTTTTAGGAACAAAAGACTTGGTCTTAGTGGCAAACGTCCTTTTTCCCATTGTATTCAGTGATTTACATGCAATTTGAACTTCTCCCTCTCCCAGCCTTTATAATTTTGTTATAACACAAAGAACTGGATTGAAGGATTTGCCTTTAGTTAAGCTATATCTCCTGAATCCCTCCTTAGCATTGAGTGATTAATAAAATAGAAAATAATATACAAATGTTTTAACATTTTTACTTTGTTTTAATATATAATAGGCTATTAAAATCTGTGAGAATATTGAACTATAGCTCACTGCATTTAAGTATGTCTTATAAATATGTGCTGTTGTAGTCATTTTAATAGTCCCTAAAATAGCATGAAAATTGCTACTCTTCCATACAATAATTGGCTACATAAAGAATACAGAATTGAAATCCTTGTTTCCTGATGGTGGTGCTCATTATCTGTGTTTTCTATTTTGCTATACCAATATTTTTGGTGGTCTTTGTGAGTGACTATAGCAAAAATACTGACTTAACCTAAGTTCATAGGATATCTCAACTCATCATGACCTTCTACTGCAACTGCTCAACATGCTGGGCCGAAACTCTTAGTTGCCCAACAAAATGCTAGCTACTGTCTTGCTAGACGTGTTGGGGCTGCATCTCTACAATCCTATATAGAGAAGTGTAAAGATACTTCATATGTGCCATAGATTTCAGCTTCTGATTATATTGCTTCAGTTTAAACTTGTATGTCATTGTTTTCAGCCTCCTGAGGATTGGTCTGGTTTTTTTTTTTTTTTTTTAGAACAACTCCTTAGACCATTAGTCCTGCCTTCAGCATGAAGTTAACTGAATGACCTTTCTTTCTCAGCCCTAGGAAGTGGGTCTGAAAATGTTGCCAAGAAAACTGCTGGAACTTGTCCCTGCAGTCCTTAAAAGTCAAGACTGACTTGAAGAAGCATGTACACACACACACACACACACACACACACACACACACACACACTTTGCAGACATATCTTTTTGGAAAAAAGAATTCTATAAATTTGACACTTTTCAGTAGACTGGCTCAGTAATGACCCTTATTGCTTACATGTCTATGGAGATTCTCAGTCATCCAGATCATGGTTGTCCCAAAGGTGCTTTTTTCAAGAGGCAACTGGACTTTATGATTTTTCTTTGAAGACCTTTCACTTTCTCATCCAGGAAGCTCCTTCATCTCTGACTGGTAGTCTTCCATTCCCCACCATCCAGTCAGAGCTGAAGAAGCTTCTTGGATGAGAAGCGAAACGTCTTCAAAGAAAAACCAGAAAGACCAGTTGCCTCTTGAAAAAGCACCTTTGGGACTTATTGCTTACAGTTTTCTATCAGTTATTGTTCTCCAGGAAATTCTAAATTTCTAATTATAAGAGCATTTTATCATAGAAGAAACATAGCTGGCTCTTGACCATTTGTAATTATGACAATGCTGAATGGGTGATAGTTGTGACTTGTTCTCATACTTACAGCTGTAACAGCATCCCCAAAGTCACCTGATTGTGATTTGAAACTTCCATATCCACCACCTGACAAACAAAGTCAATGGAGAAGCTGGCAGGAAGTCACAAGACCCAGTCACATGACACTCGCTTAATGATATGCATGGTCCTGGCTTAATGGCAACTGGGACTTCCAAAATTGCCATTGCTAAATAGTGCGGTCATGCTGGTTTCTGACTTACGACCATGTTGCTTAACTGAGTTTCTGATACCAGATAGTGTTACTAAGTGAGGGCTACCTTTGTTATTGATTAGAGGTTTGTGTCTATATAGTGATTGCAATTTACTTTGGAATGCTGACCTTGTTTATATCCATTTTGTTAACTATAGCTTTATAGGCACTCACAATAGAGTGACCTCCTAGATCTAATTACTGTTTACTGTATTGATGATATTCCAATAAAGCATCTTGAGAAACTTCCCTGGAAACCCTGTTAAAGCATTACAACTATTTTTATTCACTACAATTGGCATCTTTGATTTAGAGCAATGGTTCTCAAACAGTTTGGTCTCAGGACCCCTTTGAATTCTTAAAAGTGATTGAGGACCGTAAACTTTGAACTTTGGTTTATGTGGAATATATATCAATATTTACTGTATTGGTAGTTAAAACTGAGTATTTTTAAAATATTTATGCATTTGACTTCAATCAGAACCACTGATTTAGAGCAGATATGGGGAACTTGCAAACCTCCATATATTGCTGAACTGCAATTCCTGGCATCCTTTCTACTGCCCATTCCACTTCAGTTGCAACATTAATCCATGCGGTTTATATTTTCTTGTTATTGTTGCATCCAGGGTAGATATGAACAGGATTGTTAACATGCAAAATATTGAATGATCAACAAATTGGCTATAAGAATTATTGTACCACATAGGAAGAAGACATCTAAATAAAAGCACTGCTCTTACTATGTATTGTATTGCCAATATTTGATAATACAATATTTAAAAGTCTTTTTAATAAAGGCAAAGAAAAAGACTTTTGAACAATATGATCAGGTTTTTTGTTGTGTTTGTAGAAATTGCCAGATTTACCCTTTTTTAAAAAGGAAAACTGCTAATGCTTATTATGAGAGTTTGTTGAGCCTTCAGTGCTGTTTTAGATATTTGCATTTCTCCTTTGTTCATTAGTTTTGCCTTATAAAATAAGTTATATTTGAAATGGGGCATGATGGTGGTATTCTTGGTGCCATAATGAACTGGAGAAGTCTGTAGGCTCTTTAACCCCAATCAATAGCTCTGTTCAAATGAATCATACTGTAGGCAAGGCATAAAGAAGCGGCAAAATTAGTTCTGGTTCAACTAAGAACTGAGTATATTCTTCCAAATCCATTGAAGAAGAAGGCCTTGCTATTTTTTGTGCCTTGCATTGTGTCCCTTGATGTGCGATGTGTTGCTTGAATATTGACTGGTTTCACCTGCTTGCCGAAACATACTATATATACATGGTCACTTTGCCTGTAGTATGTTATCGTAAATTAATTCTCCTATGAAGTCAGTGGCATGTCATTGTGATGTGGTTTGTAGTCCCTAGTAAATGTGCATGGATTAATTGATGGAAATTGTAGCATTCCCTTCCATAATGGAAACATAATTTTGCGCAACTGTTTCTGCAGGTAATGGCCCTTTGTAAAACTTCTGTATCTTCATGTATTATAATAATATTATTAAACTTTGAAAGCGGTGAGGGGTTTATTATTTTTTTTTACTTTTTATTATTTTTATTTTTTATATATTTATCAGGGGCTATATAAATTATCTAAATTAAATAAATAAATAAAGAATATGTAGGGTCAGAGTGTCATGGAGTTCTGTTAATTTGTTCTGCTTAACTGACGTGTTGCAATTTTTGCTTGTAATACACCGGATACGGTTTTTGTCTATTTTCTGCGTAATGTTGGAAATTTCTATGCATAGTGATATAGCATGCATCAAATTCTTTTATACGGAAAAATATATACTAAGACTAGATTTTCTCTTGTTAATAAATGCTTCATAATTTATAATTCATGTTTACTATTTTAAATAATTGGCAAATTGCAGCAGGGATGTGCAAAGCTATATTTATTTCCATTATTTATAATTCTGCAATACAAATATAATTGAGTGCTAATTCTTTTGTTCCCATCTAGGTATTAAGTTTATCTTGTGAAGCTTGTAAAAAGGTTACCCTAAATGTGCCTCCAAAATTAAATCCAGGCACACCAATTGGCCAAGGTGAGAAAATGACAAGTTTCTTAAATATAATAATTAGAATCTAATATCTGGTTATTTTTATCCCCTCCTCCTCCCTATACCAAGAACTTTTCTTCAAGTATTGTATTTCAAAGATAATTTTCCTGATTAAAGAGTATTGGATATTAAATATGTTTATTGAAGAGTGAGACAAGAGTAAAACACAGCAAGGTTTTAGGATTCTAAATTTAAAAATACACTAATGAACAGACCAAATGTCACCTTGGGAGAAAGTATACTAAAATTACATTTTTTACCTGAAATAGATGGAACTAGCTATTTATTTACTTCCTTCTACCTTGGCATATATTTGGAATACCAGCAACCATTTCATTTTATTTATTTTATGCAATTTATTTGCTTCACTCAGCATTTCTGAGCAATGTCTAACCAGGTGATATTAATTTAAATTTTATTCTTTAGAGATAATTTAAGCCAAGGTAAATAGGTGAAAATAGACATTTAAAGCTGGATTCCTTTTAAGTTTTTTCTTTGTATATTTGTCTGTCTATTTATCTATGGTCAAATGTATTATGTATATGATATGATTTACAATCCCATCTACCTACCCTTTTAAGTTCTGGTGCCAATACATTTAAAAAATAACAGCCAGAGTTGTACAGATTGCTGATTGTATGATGTCCTATGAGGATATTGGAATTTTATGCATTCCTAAATGTTTTCACTTTCTTGATTGTTTATTTAATTTTTGATTTTCACACATATTTTTAAAGAGGATTATAAGCAGTTTTGCTATACTATGATTTATTTAATGCACTTATGTACACAATGTAAAATGTTTAGATTATACACCTGTATCTTTAGTCTATTTGGGTGATACTGAGAATGATTTTTAACAACTTTCTTTTCATCTTTTTATTAGTAAATTTGAAAGGGTGTCTTAGAACTCCTCACCTGATCAGTACCAGTGACCCTGATTTCATAGTTCTGGAAGATGGTTCTATATTTACAGCAAATGCAGTTTCTTTGTCTTCTGGGAAGAAAACATTCACCATATTGCTCAAGAATTTGCAAAACAGTCAACAAAAGCAAATCCATGTTAATTTACTGTCACACGCTCCAAAAGTAAGTGGCTTGGAATTAGATGTTATGAAAGTTAATTAACTGTAACTGATTCTAAGAAAATCCTGGTGATTTTTTTCCCACTACTTTATCCTCATTCATATGTAAATCAGCTCTTCCAAACCTGGTAACTTCTAGATCAGGGGTCTGTAACGTTAAATACTTAAAGAACCATTTGGGCCTTTTGGGTTTCCCACAGAAAAGAAAACACCAGGAGCCACAAAACCTGGTGGGCGTGGCCAACTCAATGTCACTCACTTTCACCGGTCACATGACACACCGCCCCCCCCCAGCCATGCCTACCCAGCTGGTCATTAGGCAGAGAACCAGTTGTTAAAAAACACCAGGAACCACAAAATCCTTTTGACATCTCTCTCTCTCCCCTCTCTCCCTCCCTCCCTCTCTCTCTCTCTGTCTCTCTCTCTCTCCCCCCTCTCTCTGTTCTCTCTGTTGCTGCCCTGGCTGCTTCTCCATCCCCCGCCATTGCCCTTACCTTCTCAGGCCAGGTGAGGAGTGACTGGGAGGGGAAGGCAAGGGGCGGGCCAGCCAATGGTGGGATCACCTGACGGAGCCACAGCAGAGGACCCCAAAAGCCACATGCTGCTCTGGAGCCGTAGGTTGCTGACCTCTGTTCTAGATTAATCAGTCAACATTAGCCAGTTTCAGAGCTGACACCGTGATGGGGACTAATCATATTGTGGAAATTTGAATTAATCAAAATGCTTGACATCAAAACATTCTTCTAGGAGTTTTGACTGATGAAATATAGCGAGAATCTGTAGACATGAAGTTCCTTCTCGGATCTTGGCAATGTGTGAATGTTAAATGTATGATGTATTTAAAAGCACATTGTATAAAGGAGAATAATAGAGAGACAACACTCTTCTGACAGCCTAGCAGTTCCTATAAAATGTCATTAGAATATATAGTTCTAACAGAAGTTTTTAGCATCCCTTTAGCTATAGATGAAAGATAAATTCTTAGTTTATCTTGTTAGAACTGTTGTGTTGGAGAAAGAATGATGATAGTAAAGTCATTCCATGAAAAAAGTATATTTTCCATTTCATTCCATGAAAAATATAAGTAAGGAAGTCAGCTGAAAATACTAGAATAAATTATACATTTTGCAAATATATTGCTATTGCCTGTTTGTATATCTTTTGAACTTAGACACATAAAACAGGAGAGATAGTTCTTAGACGCAGTAAACGAAGATGGGCTCCTGTACCAACCACTATAATGGAAAATTCACTGGGACCTTTCCCAATGCAAATTCAGCAGGTAAGTTAATAAGCTTCCTTTTCCTATTTTAAATAGGAATATGTATTATTAGCAACCTATATGTAATACAATTAGTCTCCTGTGTAGTCACTTACACAAATATTAGTAATAATTTGCTCATCTTGCTCAAATGGCAAATTACATAAAAAACGGTTGCTGATATAACTTAGTCACTTTGTTATTCAAGTTGTTTCAATGTTACCACAGTATGATACAAATCTAGTTTTTAATTTCCTTTTTTATTTTGGCACCACCTTTCTAGAAGAATGGTGTATCCAAACTCTGTAATGAGTTACCATTCTATTTCCAATTAAATTTTGATAAAGAAATTCTGCTTTTGAGGATACAAATAATTCTTTTTCAAGAATTATGACACATTGTTTTATGTGTCTTTGTTAAATAAATACTAGTATATATCTGACTCACATTTTATGAATTGAAGCTATTGGCAGACTTCATCTCCTTGTTCAAATACTGAGATTGAACAGCACAATAATATAAACTGATTTTGCAGTTTCGAATATGATTAGTTGCTATATGTGTAGTTCCTACTGAGATTTCTAAGGACTTCTGTAAGAGATTGATTTTTAAATTATTTTCCTGATGCAAATGTGTGCTAAACATCTAGTCTGACATAGCTCTCAAACACAATAAAGGAAAGTTGAGCAGCAAAACCAATAATCTTTGCAATTTTTGAGGTGTATTTTGATATGTGTACTGTTAATGCTGTAATGGTTAAAGTAGATAAAACCTTCCAAATAGCAAATAAATATCATTTACACACACACACACACACACACACACACACACACACACCCCTACCTATACAGTTGATGTTTAATATAATATTGATTAAAAGTTGCAAAGTGCATTGAATTGTTTTGTAATATGAAAAAGTCTATATCATTGAACTCAATACTAACTTCTTTATTATTATTTATTATTTATAAGTAAAAAGGGGAAAAGTTATTTGGAAAAAAAGGAAAATTATAGATATTTTATCTCTAACTACTCCCTTCTCTGTACACCAACTATTTGCAGTGTTTAAGGAATATTTAAATCTCCTTAAAACCATATTAGGTGTTTATATTTACCTTCTTAGTATACATCAAAGCAAACAATATATAATTAATACATATATCCATTATGGGCAATATGTAGCCCTTTAGATATTAAATTCCAACTCCTATCCACTTTAACTGCTATCTGAAGCAATGAGAAATAGGGTGTTACAATCCAGCAACATTATCATCTTTTGGCATGTATATTGAATACTTTTTAAAATTTAGATATTTTCTGTGGAGAGGATTGTTTTACTTCAGTTCTGGGATGTAGGATATAGTTATGTTTTCCTTTTTCCCCCAACTTTTTTTTTTATAGCTATCTTCTGATACAGCTCAAAAATACAACATTACCTATTCCATTGGTGGGCCTGGTGTGGATCAACCACCATTGAATTATTTTTACATTGAAAAAGAAACTGGAAATCTCTTTGTTACTTGCCCAATAGATCGGGAGGAGTATGCGGAATTTCAGGTAAGAGTCATAATTTTACCATTTTCTAAAATATAGGTTTGTCCTCAGTTCATTGTAGCAATTGGGACTGGTGAATTGATGTGGTTGTAAAGTGCAAAGTGTCATGTGACCAAATCACTTAACTATGGCAATTCCAGCAGTTGTAGTTGCTATTGTTAAGTGCATCACCATGGGTCATTAAGCAAGAATGTTACATGGTCACCAATTACGATTTCCCCATTGTCCTGCAAAAAAAAAAAAAAAAGTCACAGTAACTGCTGGATGCTCCAGTCTTATAATTAATCTCACCTATCCTGACTAGGTGGCTCAGTGGCTAAGACACTGAGCTTGTCAGTCAGAAAGGTCGGCGGTTCGATGGTTTGAATCCCTAGTACAGGTCGTCTGCATGAGCAGGGGGTTGGACTAGATGACCTCGAAGGTCCCTTCCAACTCTGTTACTGTTACCTGTTACCAGTTACAAGCTGAGCACCTGGATCGCGATCACATGATTGTGCGGACACCACAAAAGTTGGAATGCTGAGGAATGGTCTGAAGTACGACTCGTTCATGTTGTTAATAATTAGAAGAAATCCAAAATTTAGATTTTATGAAACTCAGAAAAGCAGTTTCATCCTTTGGAGACTCTATTTAAAGTTAATCATACTAGTACATTTCAAAAAGGGCCTGGCTGCTAAGCTATTATTACTTCTCCACTCTTATTGCATTTGCTGATTGCCATTCATCAGCTCTGATTAAGATCCCTTGATCTTTGTTGGAAGGGAGGGCCCCTGGGAGTAACTGTTGGAACACTGTAAGGATTATTCAGGCTATCTGATGGATAGCATCATTGAAATACACTGTGACATGGTCGATGATGTGATCTAGGATAAGCTTCAGCTGGTGACTCCTGAGGAAGTAGATAGTAGATTCTCTGTGCTGTCAACTCAGCTACCAGTGACTTGAATCAGTCATAATCAAGGGAGGTGACCCGCATTTGGGTTCATGCTGAGGTGTCAGCCTCTTTGACAGAGATAGGGTGGTAGCTCCTGCCTTGAAAGAAATTGTGTTGCATGGCCTCCTCAAGAAACTGTCCTTGGATTCAGTGGTTCTCAATACGTACTGTTCAAACTCCAGGCTTCTAATTCTGGGGAAGGTTGTTGAGAAAGTGGTTGTCCTTAAGTTGATGAGTACTCTGGAGGAAGCAGATTATACCTACCCTTGTTTTCCTGAAAATAAGACATCCCCTAATAATAAGCCCAACGGGGCTTTTGAGTGCATGCGGTAAAATAAGCCTCCCCCTGAAAATAAGCCCTCCCTGAAAATATTTAAATGTGGAGCTGAGTAAGATGGCAAGAGGAGCCCCATCTTGCTCCATGAGCCCCAAAATAATAAGACCTCCCCGAAAATAAGGCCAAGCACTTATTTTGGGGTTCAAAAAATATAAGACAGGGTCTTATTTTCAGGGAAACATTTCAGCGAGATTTCAGGCTGGGATTTAGTAATGAGACAGCTTTGGTTGCGCTGTAGATGTCCTGTGGCAGAGCCAAGATGGGGATGGTTCATTTGTGTCTGTGCTTCTTGATCTCTCAGAGACTTTTGTTATCACTGGCATGATGTCTTGACTTCATGACTTAGAGATGGGGAACTGGGTTATGATGGTTCTCTTCCTTTGATCTGACAAGGTGGTGCACTCTGGATTCCTTCAATGAAACTAAGCTATGCCAGACATTCATCTTCTCTGTCACAGAGTCTACAGTCTGGATTGAAGCCCCCTTTGCCCCCAAATCTATTGAAGTTTCATAGGGTGGTGAAGACCTGGCTTTTCACCCAGGCTTTTGGCTAGGATGGTTGAAGTCCCTTCTGAACACTCTGTAATGATTTCATTGTTGCACACTTTTGTCATCTTTTGCTCTTGTCTTTCTTATCATATGGCTTTATTGTTATTTTTTTCTGTTGCTTTTTAGTTTGTGAACTGCCCAGAGTTATGGAAGTATGTTTGTGTGCAAATTAAATATATAAATCAATAAATACTAAGGTTTGTGTGCAAGGAATGTAATAACATATGTTAATTGTTAAAATAGATCAGCAAAGAAAATCAACTCTCCATAGATAGCAAATTAAAATAGTTTCTTTTTTACAGATAATTTGCTATGCAAAGACGTTAGATGGCTACACACCAGAGATTCCACTTGTACATTTAATCCGAATTGAGGATGATAATGATAATCCTCCAATTTTTAATCCTGATACAGTTACTTTCACTATTTTAGAGAATAGCAGATCTGGTAAGCATACATATAATTTGAAAACATTTTAGTTTTATATTCTGTTAACAACTTAATACCTTGTTGGGACTGCAGTTTAATGGATAACAATTTCAGCCAATGAAGAGTGAATAGTTACTGAACCTGGTTTCTAAAAGAATGATTACATCAACTCTTTGGAATTGGATAGTTTAATAAATAAAAGTACACTAATTACATATAACTATTAATATTTTTATGTGGAATGAAGCCATAAAATTCTCTAACCTGGAATTTCAAGGTAAAATTTTCTACCTTGGAAACAGTCACAGATGACCATTTCTATCTTGAAAATATCTTCACTTAAATATCTGACTCACTTTATATCTGTGTTGCTCAGAGACTATTATCCTCTACTGCTTTGAAGTTCCTTGGATCCTCAATAGCACAGGTGTCAAACTTGTGGTGTCACATTGCTGTCACATGACGTTTCATGATTTTTTTTCTCTTTGTGGAACTGGGGTGGACATGGCCTGCACGTGACATATCCAGCCCGTGGGCCGCCAGTTTGACATCCCTGCTCAATAGGATTTGGTTTCTGATGATTTGGGTCAGTTTGATACATTACTGAATCTTTTTCTAACTCCATTAATAAAAAACTAAAGAAGCTTCTGTTATTTAGGTTTAGGGTTAGAATATGAAAGTTTGTATTTAGATCATATGTTTTGAGTATTGCATCTTAATGTGAACAGTGAAATCAAACTTGTTATTAATTTGCTGGATATTTTTATTTTTAAGGATCCACTGTAATATTGTAGCAAAATTGACAGTCAGAAATTGATATAGCCTTCATTAAACATTATATGCATGTGCGTGTTTGTATATATATATATATATAAGTGAATAAACACTTTCCCTAAAATTCTTTCAGCTGTTTTAAATTTAAGTGTTGTTGATGAAAACGGGACTAATTGCATGCAGTATGATAAATCACAGCTTTAGTAAAACGAGCAAGACTGGATTGTAGAAATATGTTGAGAAATTGTAGAAATTTTTATGGGAAGAGGGAAACTTAAAGGCAACTGGAAATGTCCTTATTGCATTAATTTAAGTATTGCTTGATAAGTAGCATATATACAATACTATTTGAAAGCTAGCTCTCTAATAATAATGTGAGAAGCATATTATGGTAGACGACTACATTTCTTTTCCATGTAGGAACCTTCATTGGGCAAATGACTGCAACAGACAGAGATGAACCTGGCACCCTGCACACTAAACTGAAATACAGAATTGTGGGACAAATTCCTGTTTCATCTCGAGGCTCTTTATTTACTGTACAAGCAGATACTGGTGATATTTCTTTGCATACTCCGTCCTTGGATAGAGAGGTAATTTCACCCCCCATGAAACCCAGTGTTGTTGTTCTTTACCTTTGCAACTTTCAGGGACAATTTTTAAAGAGGGTTTGGAATCAGAGTCCTGCCCTTGAACTATAGACCTGAAGTGGTTTTAACGAATGTACAGTTTCTTTGTAACAAAAGTTTTATTGATCATGGAGCCAATTTGAATCGTCAAATTCTTAAGCATCCTGCAGATTTGGTTGATGGTGCTAACAAAATTGGATTTATGTCCTTTATCTTGACTTGACTGAAAGATGGTGGATAAAATATTTGTATCTGAAGTACAGACAAGGGCATATGCAAATTCTCTGGGCTGCACTTTCAAAGAGGGTATGGAAAGCAATGGAAGCTTGGAAATGGGTTAGTAAGTCAGTTGCTAGCCAGGTACATAGAACTGGAAGAAAAAAATTCCCAGTAGAAAATGGTTTGATGAAGAAGATTGTAATTTTCCATATTGACAGCTTTTATTTTTGAGATAATTACATGTTAAAGAGGACCTTTCCTTCTCTGTGTTGTAAGGCTATTCATTCCACAGAATGAACATGTCCATTAATAATACATTGGTAAAAGCTATTTTTCTTTTTCTTCCATACTAACATTTAGTATTTTAAACAGATTTCTGGAATCACAGAAATTGTCACCAGTATGTAATTGGCAATGCAACAATATCATAAAAATTATTGCAGCCTTATCCAACTTTATCTCTTCTATAATGACTTCTATAATTGTCATTATATATATATTTTTAAAAAACCCCTCATGATTCATTACTCTTTATATTTATAAATTCTATGTAATTTATTTGGTTTTTAACAATGAATAAACAATATTGATGTCTACAATGCTCTTTTTCAGAAAATAGATAGATACACGGTATTACTGGAAGCAAGAGATATGGGAGGTCAGAGTTTTGGTTTATGCAACACTGGAACGGTTATAATTGACGTTGGTGATGCAAATGACCATGCACCGATGTGTGAACATGGTGTGGTATGTGTGACATGTTCAAGCTAATTTTCTTTTACTTTTGTCATTATGTATGTGTCTATACATATATGTGTCTATTGAATATATGTATATCTCCTGCATGTTTTAATCTACTCCTGTATGATTAGCCTAGTATAGAGAGTAAAAAGAATGGCTTTGAGGAAGAGAGGAGAGATCCTTTACCAAAGAGATGTGAAGGAAAACATACACTACGTCTGGCACATGTAGAAAGCATACTGTATGCAAACTCCCTAATTTCCACAAGTATAAAACAGAGAAGAGGGGAAGCACAGCCAGACTTGCAATTTTACCTCAGCTTTATGAAGCCAAGAAATAAGTTCCAATAGAGTAAAGACTAGTTTAGATTGGCTATGATAAAATGATCTTGCAAATCTGATTGTGTTCTCTCTCCCTTCTCTATTGTATCCATGGGAATGTATTCTCCATACCTAATAAAGGGATGGTGCGGCGGGAGTGTTCCATTGAGCTTTTCCCTTATACCCCCCTTCCCAATTTATTTTTGACAGATAAATAAGCCCAGTTGAAATCTGTCCGTGGAAGTCAAATATTGATATGATTATTGAATTGTATCTTAACTTGTAAACTGGCCATGCCAGAAAAATTTCACACAAAATGATTGCCCCAAGGAAACCTACAAGTTAACTTGTTTATTAAGCCATGATTCCTGTCCTCCTCTTGGTTGCAGAGAAAACAAATGATATCCCCCACAACACTTCCATGTTTAGTTTGGAATGACTTAATCTACAAATAATATATAACAAAATTAAAATTTGAGATCGGTAAAGGAGGGAGAGTGTAATTGGAAAGGGGTTTGTATTTATTTCTTTATTGCTTCATTGCTTCATTCATTCATTCATTCATTCATTCATTCATTCATTCATTCATTCATTCATTCTTATTCCTTCAAGACATTGTTTGAATCCTGATGATTACCTGAGAAGTCTTTGCATGTTTTTTTTCTTTTTTTTGGGGGGGGGGAAGATTTCAGTAGTAATTTGCTCTGGTATTCTTCCTAGGTCTTAGAAAGGTTGAATGGTCCTGGGTCACCCCCCTGGCTTTGTGGTTAAGGCAGGAACAGAATTCATAGTCTTTTGATTTAGATATAGTCTGTATAATTGTCTGTATGCACAAAAGCAAAAAGAGTGCTATCTGGGATTATTGCATTTTGGAATAATAATTGCTAGGTATCCTGTCTGTTCCAACACTACTTAAGGATGAATAGTCCATAACTATTAAGCGGCTGTTTAAGATTGAATAGTCCATAACTACAGCACAGTGGCTAGATTCTGCCAGCAGCACTGGGGATTCGTCAGAAACACATGTCTAATCCACCATAACTGTTTCATACAACAAATGTGGCAAACCCTTTGCACTGCTTATTCCTTTGCATTTTAGTATTTAATTGACTAAGGGCCTCACAGTTTATGAATTGCTATTTTAGTAAAATTAGGTCATGTGTAATTGACAGACTGGATTTTAATATAGATTTTATCTGTTATTTATTATTTTATTCTAGAATTTTTAACTGGATATTCACTGAGTTTTTATTTGTTCTGGTCTCTGGTTTATGACTGTAATAAAATTGATTTATTGATTTAATAATATACTTTTAAACTTTGCATAATGAAATTAATCTATGAACATTTTGCTAATTTCAGTATGAAGTATTTGTACTTGAAAACACAGTTAATGCAGAAGTAACGAAAATTGGTGTGATAGACAAAGACGTACAGGGAACTCCAGCCTGGCATGCTACTTTCAATATTATAAAGGGAAATGAAGATGATTCTTTTAAGATTGAAACAAACCGGGATTCAAACACTGGGACCTTATGTATTAAAAAGGTAATAAGGAAAAGAATTATGCAAAACTTTACAGGATATATATTTCCACCTTTATTTCGAGTTGTATTGGGAGTTGCAGTCCTGTTTTCCAGTATTGAAGGTGGCAGTGGTTATCATGATACTTTAACACTGCTAACACTGTAGTTATATAGTTCCCCCTAAAAGTTACAGTTGCAATAATTTTTCAGTATTGAATTTTTCCAGGTAGTTGTGTTTGCTGTATTGACAACATATTTTAGTTTTCTCACTATTTTTATTATAAAGCGGATGTAGTTTTTATTTTATGAACATTTGAATACACTGTTTTTCTTTACGCTATTCCAATTTCATGGCTGAGTGCTTTATATTGGTTTCCAACGCCATGGCTCTCTCATTTTCATTACACAAAGAGGAAATGGGAGCAGGTTTGCAGAAATGCAAAGAAATAATAAGAAAACAAACCGCTGAACTTGACTGGAGAAAAGGAGTCATAAATGGGACCCTCTTTATGCTATCCTGTTTTGTTACAGGTTCTACTTGTTTTATCCAGGGCATTAAAGTTACCCAAGCTCCCTCTTATTCCTAACCAAAATGACTTCTTGGGGCCAAATAAAAATATTTTTATTGATGAAATGTTCTTTTTATTACAAAACAATCAAAATGTGAGACACAAAAAAAGAATCAGAAGCATTTAAGCTTTTTTTTTTTTAAAAAAACTCAAGCACCACAGCAACAGCTATTTTGCGTGGGCCTGATCCGAAAATTATTCATTAAAGTCAAATGAGATGCGGATACTTTAAAAAATTAATGGCATTCTAGATTAGCACTGTTAGAGATTCTATGTTGCTGTTTGTTCTGAGTTTGTTTTATTAACAGAAGCATAGAGATGAACATTCTTTCCTCAACAGAATTTATAATCAGCAAAAAGAAAGGAGAGAGATAGATTTGACTTTTCTTCTTGTCTTTCCTAAACCTCAAATTGTTGCTAAACAGGAAATTGCTTTTTTAAATATATATATATATGCTGGTTTAACCCTACTAACATGTAGTAAATCTTGTAATATATTTTCTAGGGTCTGAACTATGAAAAGACCAAGGAGAGAAGATTAGAAATTGTTGTGAATAATGAAGTACCTTACGTTTTGGCACCGAATTCAGGACCAATTTCTACAAGCACTTGTGTTGTTGTTGTTAAAGTACGAGATGTGGATGAAGGGCCTGAATTCAATCCTAAATTATATATTTTGGATATAAAAGAATGTTTGAAAGCTGGAACAGTGGTTGGCCATTACTCTGCAAGTGATCCAGAGACCGGAAATAGTGAAGACATACGGTATTGTACTTTGTGACTTAATTCACTTTCTTGTCCTGTTTATTATGAACAATTTTTGCTGTTAAGGAATTATAGGCATAGAGCAGAGACTGGCAAGTTTCTGATGCAGCTGGAGGACTGGAAGGGTTTGTTGTGGTGGAAAGCTAGTGAGATTACAGGATGTGACAGAGGCAATTCAGGTTTGTGTTAAGAGTGAGAATGGAAGTAGCAAACTTCGAAGAGACCAAACTGCTTCCACTTTCAATCTTCAGATCGTCTGAATCTGATGTCTGAATCTGAATCTGAACAGCCTTCCATGATCCAAAATTCAATTTGCAATGGGGAAGGGAATTGGGAGAAAGTTTAAGAATTAAAATGGGAGAATTTTTCTTCCACAGCAGGAGGATGGGGTTAGTGGTGTCAAAATGGCGTGCATGATTGAAACCTTGATTCCCCACATTATTTAAAAAAAAAAATTAGCAAAAATTTTCGTATTTGGTTGCACAAATATGGTACGCTGGGGATTAGGGTACCCTTAAAACCTGAATTAAAAACCTCATTTTCAGATAAGGATGCTGTTCCATCTTCATCCATTGGTGAGAGTATATGTGCACTTCTATTGCTGTTGGCATATATAGCTTTACAAATCTTTACAAAGCCTTATTTTCCTATTAACATATTTCCTGAATACCAGTGGGATGGATCAAATTTAGGAAAACTGTCGTTCCGCTTCATGAATATTTGAGACAAATTGATGACAAAGATTCAAAATAATTGTTTTTCTGCCTATATAATCATAAAAGTATACTCCTGAATTAGCTGTTTTGTGGAACTGATGTAATGATACATTTGCACTAGCCTGTTTTGCAAACCATTTAAAGATATCTAGGATACTATGAAGAAAACATTTCATGTGTTTGTTTCTAACATGTTACTTTTTCCCCTTGCAGTTACAAAATACTAAGGGACCCATGTAACTGGATCACCATGAATAATGAAGGTCAGATCAGCACCACTAAAATGTTAGACAGGGATGCACCAGATTTACAGTTATATCAATGTAACGTAACAGTTGCAGCAGTAGACCGAAGTGAGTAGAAATTCCACAAATCATACATGTTTTAAGTTACTTTCTGCTGTATGTTTATTATGTTTATTATGATTTTCTATGAAAGATCCTCCCTTAAAGAAATGCAAGGAGTATTGATGAGAAACATAAAAGTAAAGCAGCATATTAAGACTATTTTTCAAATATATTGGATATACAAATAGTCCTTACAAATGGCAGTCAGGATTGGCAACATAATCGTTAAGTGATATGGTTAAATGGAATCAAAGATACTAACTTATTCTCATTTGCACATAGTTACACTTTCAAGTCAAAATTTAGGCTTGTGAATTGAAAGTCAAAAGGATTTAATATGCAGTGGTACCAGTTCTTTTATTACCACCAAACACCAGCTACTATCATCTGGCATTTCCAATTTAATTAGTTTTTGACAGTATAGGTAATTATAGCCACAGTTGGGACCAGAATTTGGGTTGTTAAGCAAGGCAGCTGTTAAGTGAGTTCCACCCAATTTTAGGACCTTTTTGCCATAGTTGCCATGGTGGCGCAGTGGTTAGAATGCAGTACTGCAGGCTAATTCTGCTGACTGCCAACTGCTAGCAGTTCAGCAATTCGATTTTCATTGGCTTAAGCTTGACTTAACCTTCCATCCTTCCGAGGTTGGTAAAATGAGGACCCAGATTGTTGGGGCCAATATGCTGACTTTGTAAACCGCTTGTAAACCACAATGTAAAACACTGTGAATATAAGTCTAAGTGCTATTGCTATTGTTAAGTGAATCATGGTCATTAAGTGAACCTGGCTTCCCCTGTTGACTGTGCTTGTTGAAGCTGGCTGACAAGGTTGCAAATGGTGATCACATGATCCTGGGACATTGTAGTTATTGTAAATACATGTCAACTGTTAAGCATGTGTTCATGCAACTGTGAATCCCTATAAGTGTGAGGATTAGTTGTAAATCATCTTTTTTTTCAGTGCCATTGTAACTTAGAACAAATGTTTGTAAATTGAGGACTACCTGTACAATGCTTCCTCCTCATTCATTAAAAAAAAGAGAATCTGTCCTCAGTTTAAACATGCATAGCAACAATTGAAGTTCTATACATATAGTTGAAATAAGCCCAAACAGTTTTAAAAGATATTCATGTTCCTAGTATTGCTATTTGTTTATTCATTTATTTATTTTTTGTCATATGTACATGGCTGCCTTGCTCACAAACAAATGTCTTTGTGCAGTGTAAAACAAAATTAAAAGCAATATATAGAAAATGATTATTAATATTATTTTGAAAAAAAAAACATTAACATTATAAAGGGCACAAAATATTGGGCAAATAAGCAGGTGTTAATTTACTTGGATTTGGAGGAGCTACATTCAGCCATTGTGTTAATACCTTTGTTAATGTCACCTTGATTACATGATACACTGTTTGGCCTTTTCTTGGGATTTGCATAATATTCCCAGTCTTCCATGTGAAAAAGAGAATCGTCTTCCTTATATTGCGAATGAAGCCAATTATATATTCTTATATTGATTGCAAAAGTCTTACCTTTCCTAATGCTAGTGATCATATGCAAAATTGAAGAGTCAACCTGAAAAGCCTTGTGAAATTTTTAGGTGTGGTATTAATTCTTGGAACTAGCTTTTACTTTGTTGAAAACTTGTATTTAGCTCACAAGCTAATCATGGTTAGATTTGGATTATACTTGGATAGGGGAACCCAGGAATATAAGAGCTTCTCATCTGTTTCTAAAATTGCTTATATTTTTTAGGTGGCAAAACAGGCACTGGAACAATTGTAGTTAATCTACTAGATGAGAACGATAATTACCCAGTCATTGTTCCAAAAGAGTATATCATATGCAGAGACCGAAAACCAATTTGTCTTACTGCTGTGGATGCTGACATAGCTCCTCACACAGTTCCATTTACTTTTTCCATTCCTGAAAGAGATACTCAAAACTGGAAGTTAACTGAAAATGATGGTAGGTACTCATTTCTAAAATCTGAATCTTTTACAATTGACCTAATATGTTTGAAATAATATTCACTCCTTTTAAATATTTTTTTCCCCCTGCAGAGAGATCAGTGTATCTGGAACCATCCGATGCTTTAAGCTATGGCCAGTACATAATTCCTATTAGAGTAGCTGATAATGAAGGCAACTTTGGGATTTCTGAAATCAAAGTTTCACTGTGTGATTGTACAGTTCCTAAAGATTGTATTTACAAACCACCAAGAGATTTACCACATCAGGGCTCAGATGTTACTCTGGGTATTTGGGCCATCCTTGCTATGATTTTGGGATCACTGCTGCTATTGTGTAAGCTTATTTTTTCTTCTTTTGACTATAAAACTGAGGTAATGAATTATGGAATGCTTTTGACATCTTAAGGTTGCAAATCAAATTAGTTGATTTATTTATAATTCGTTCATGTATAAATTTGTCCTTTGAAATATTTGAAGCAAGTAAAAGATATTGTGACAGTATTTCAATCTATTTAGATGCTGCAATACTGAACCCTGGTTTTGCATGTCTCTGTCCTATCCTAATGCAGAAAGGTCAGCATGGCATACTTAGATAGGGCTGTAGGGGAATCGGTTTTGCCGTTTAAGAAGGCTGCATTTATTGCATATTTATCCCAGTCTTCTCCTTCTCTCACTCTTTACATAAACATATAACACAACAATTTGCATATCCGTAAAATTTAAAAAATAGTCGATTCATATTTAAACAGGCCAGAGATTGTAAATAACCTTAATAACAGCTTCACCAGTCTACTGTACTTCACAGTTGACCAATTTTCTGCTTAAAAAGCTTTAGAATTACTTTTTCAATATAAGGCTTTATCTTTATTGTACCAGAAGCACTATAAATCAGGGCCAACTACTATTTATTTAAAATGCTACTGAATCTGGATTGGCCGTGAAGATACATTTTCAGTTATCCCTGTATTGAAGGTTGTTGAAACTAAATGTAGTTATATAATGCTACAAATGTTCCCAATGGTAATTTTTTTTTTATTTAGAAGTTAAAAAGTCCCCTCGCCCCTTTAAATCAATTTCAGGCATTTTGTTAGAACAAATTATTCCAAATTGGGAATTTCTGTGGGCCAGCCAAATATTAAAACAGTAAATTTTCTTGCACATTGAATGCATTGGCAAGTTTCAGCCTACATCTTTCCTCTACCTGTTTGCCAAGCTCTCCTAGTTTGTTCCAACCCCTTGGAAAAGTGAGGGAAGGTGGTTCCATTCACCCTATAGAGAAACTCTTGTTCTAGGGTAGGTAGACCACATTAACGTACAATGTTTTGATGGAATAGCTCTCTTTTTGTCTTCCTGTCATAGTTTGAATGATAGGGGAACTACAAATAGCTCAAAGCTTTCTTGTTATTTGCAGTGGCAAATAATAAGCAAGTTTATTGCTTTTAAAATTTGACATGATGATAGCTAGCATGCAGTTTCTGGAAATTTAAGAGACTTAGAGAGTGAAATGGCTCTATTAGAGGGAGACAAAGAAAATAACACTATCTTTGATGGATAGTAGATGTAATAAATATTACTAACAAATGTGCTGATATTTAATTGATATTAAATAGGAGCCACGGTGGTGCAGGGGTTAGAGTGCAGTACTGCAAGGTACTTTTGCTGACTGCCAGCTGCCTGGAATTTGGCAGTTCAGTCCAAGCCTGCCATCCTTCTGAGATGGGTAAAATGAGGACCCATATTGTTGGGGCAAATGCTGACTCTGTAAATTGCTTAGAGAGGACTGTAAAGCATTCTAAAAGCAGTATATACCTCTAAGTGCTATTGCTATTGCTATCTCATTACTACTGGTTTTTGTCCTTCTGTAGTAATCCTGATCACGCTTTGTGGATGTTTTGGTGGTGCACCCATGGCTGGTACTAAGCATGTTCATGATGATTTAGCCAATCAGAATTTAATCATATCTAATACTGAAGCACCTGGAGAAGAAGTGATGGTAAGTCACATTATGATGCTTAGCAAGTGGGCTTGCAATCGATGCCAGTACTTAAGCCTTTTCTGAAATTCTTGTATTGCTCATTTATTTTAGAATTTATAGGATGGATACCAAAGCAGGAGGCTATTAAAACAAGTGCTAGGACTGTAACAAATAGAATCATATTTACTTAAATTATTCCTATTAATTACAGCACCAGGGGCTGCTCCTCCATCTGCCACAGTGAACAGTAAAGGGGCAGATTTGGTTGGGCAGGTTTTACAGCCCTGTGACCTCTCTTTCACCCTCCACCACCAGAGTAAGCATCTACAAAGGAAGGTTAGATAATAATGAGGATTGTCTAGTAGGCATTGGATGCTGCTAAGACAAAAGAAGAAAATAATTATCTGATTGGAGTTAAAGCTGGAATTTTGTTATCGCACAGCTTGTAAGAATAAATAGGTAGGGCCAGCTTGTCTAAGTAGCTTCTTGTCCAGATGTTAAAAGAAAGATGCAAGTTAGTCACAGGACAATGTGGGAAAGGAGAATGCGAAGAAGATACACTGAAAGACTGAAAATATTTTTTTAAAAAATATGTAAACTTCAGCATATAAATAGCGTATAAATAGCCCTCCCAAATCCTGAATCCTTTTTTGGGATAGAAAAATCTGCATTGGAGGAAGAAATCTTGAACTTCTCCTTAAATATAAAATAATAATAATAACAACAGTAACAACTACAACTTTTGTGATGCTACTGATGCAACCTTGGATTCTTCCTAAGGATCTTAGAGATTGATGGCAATGTCAGCTGTGATGTGATAATTCTCATTATTTACAGTGCCTGGAAGGGAAAGCCATAGCTTTGTTGGTGGGATTCAACAAATATTTTGTAATATTTCCATTAATATCAGGCTTGATTTAAAAAAATGATCATGGCTTTAATTTAAAAAACAGATCTTTTCATTTAATTCTTAAATTCTGAGTATCAACTAGATTCTTATATTGCACGGGAATCTGCTATTTCAATAGAATTATTTTAATAGCTCAAGAATAATGCAAATATGTTACTTTCTAATGCACATACTGCCCTGTTTTAAATAGAATTGGCTATGCTGAGCAACATTTTCAGTTTTGGCCATTAGATTAATGGTTTTCTGAATGTATATGGCATTGACAAAAATGTAATATCAATTTCCACTGGATTGTGATTTTTGAATCAAAATTGGTATTCTACCATGGGTTGTATGTGATGACTTCAAGTTTACGGGACCGCCTGCTACCACCAATAGCCTCCCACCGACCAGTACGCTTCCATAGAGAGGGGCTCCTCCGGGTGCCGTTGGCCAAACAATGTCGACTGGCGGCCCCCAGGGGGAGAGCCTTCTCTGTGGGGGCACCTACTATCTGGAATGAGCTCCCCCCGGAGATACGGAGGATCCCGGATCTGCGTACCTTCCATCGTGTGCTCAAGACTTTCTTATTTCATCAAGCTGGCCTGACCTAAGTCTTTCCCCTTTTTAAATGGAAATTTTAAATTTGTTTTTAAATTATTGGGGTTTTAAATTTGTTCAGCCAAATTATTTAATTCATTTTATTTTATTTTAAATTTTGTATTTATATGTTTTATTCTATGGATGTTCACCGCCCTGAGTCCTTCGGGAGTAGGGCGGTATATAAATTCAATAAAATAAATAAAATAAATAAATCTATGCAGCCTGGTAGAAATGAGATGTAATCATTTAATCCTAATATCACAGAACTTTCCAGATTCTGTCATACACAAGGCTGATGAAGATAAACAAATTACAGTTACTTGCAATTAAGCAGGTTCAGGGATGCTTAATAAATTGGTCACATAGTAAATCTACACATCGTAAATGGAATATCTTGGAAAAGTTTGTATTTTTTGTTTCTACGGTTCTTCTAATATCTAAAGCAGCTGTAAAATAACATCTAAATCTTCACTGCTTTCTCTTCAAACATTCTAAAAAAACCTTTGCCATTTCCCCCCTTTCAGGATCCGAACATACTTCCTGTGAAAACAGGAAATATAGTTACGTCTGATCATGGGGTTGCTTCTGGAGTAAAAACTGGGGGACAGGAAAGTTTTGAAATGGTCAAAGGAAACCAGAACATAGAATCGGTTAGGGAACAACACACCTTGGGATCTGCCAAAGGAGCGCATTATACTGTAGATGGAAGAGGATATGGGCAGTCCATGATGGATACCTACAGATACAACTATTCAGAATGGCAGAATTTCACACACCCTCGTCTGAATGAGGTAAGGTTGCTAACCAATTTCTTTAGCATGTATTTTTAGTCTTGCACTTAACTATCTAAATCTGTGAAACAGTCTGATAAATTATTTGGAATCTCACTGAAATCTCTGAATAAAGAATTATCTACTGTGTATAGAACCTTCTTTTTATTTGCCTTCTTGTCTCTGGATTTAGGTGAAATATTTTTTGCTTTGCTAATAAATTATCATATTGTTTAGAAAGATTGTATATTTGGACTTGGGATTTGTAATGTCTGTTTGCTTTGTTTTGTCCCCACCTGTCATACTGTTCGTTCTTCTTTATTTGACCCAAACAAGTGATTTTTAAAAAATTGAGACTCCTTGTTGTAGAAGGGCTAGGTACACATGTCAATAATAAACCTAAGCCAGTATGATCCACCAGTGTATCATTACTAATTTATATACAAATGTTATTTAATTTTATTTGCAATTGGTTTAGAAATGCTAAGTTGTATATTTGTGATCAGTGGGAATCTGATTTTTTTTTGTTAAAGTATTCATAGATTGAATGATATAGACCAATCATGTGCATTTTTTGTATATAGGAACCCATTAGAGGACACACTCTGATTAAAAATTAAACATTAAAAGGTAAATCAATGAAATTTATTTTATGGCATATGTTGTGGTTAGTTTAAGGAAACAAATGACCTTTTTTTTCTTTTTCCTATGCAGAAAGTATATCTCTGTGGGCAAGATGAAGAGCATAAGCATTCCGATGACTATATTCTTTCATATAACTATGAAGGAAGAGGATCGCCAGCGGGCTCTGTAGGCTGCTGTACTGATCAGCAAGAAGAAGAGGCACTTGACTTTTTAGATCAGTTGGAACCAAAGTTTAGGACATTAGCAGAAACCTGCGTGAAGAGATAGATGACAGGGTGGAAAATCATCACTGCTATGCAGAATAGCTGTTTCAAATCTTGAATACACCAGATTTATGTTTCTTGTTTTTCCTGTAATGGGTGGTGAATCAAAAGTACATCCTAACATTAGGTTTTTCAGGACTAAGGTTTCTATATCTAAACTTCAGGTGCTGCATTCTATTTTGTTTTAGATTCTCTTTAGCTGTAATGTCAATCTGTAATTAACTTGCTTCCCAAATGCAACAGATTCTCGTTTTATTATTTTTCTGGGTTTCATGGGGATTATTTGGGGCTGCTACTCCCATAATTTTCAGGTTTCAACCATGATGACTAGGAATTTTGGGAACGGCAGCTCTGCCACACCTAGAATATCCCCACTGGGGAAATTGACCATAGGAAAGCGAAGTTCACTATTTCCTATTTTTAGGGATTATGCCTTAAGATATCTATTTTTGCCTGGGTGTCAGCAGCTTTCTTTAATTTACCAAAATTTTTAGCTTTATAGAGAGAAATGACAAAGGATTTCAGTTATTACTTATTTGCATCTTATGAAAACAAAGATTCTGTTTTCAAAACAAGATGCCATTTTTTTCTGTAAGACCTTCCTTTGCAGTCAAATAATCTCTAGCTTTCCTCTATTTTTCTCCTTAGCAAACACCCAGTATTTTATGATCACTAAGCATAATTGGGCTTTATCATCTTTGTTTAGGATTGGGAGTGGAGACTGGCAAGGGTACTTTGGCAAAGTTTGGTTTCCCCCTAAGTCTGCTAATGCTTTCCTCTTTTATGTGGATGTTGTTCTTTTGACTAATAAAGATATTTTAACAAAAAAATTGCTTATATAGAATAAAATGTCTGTGTTAAATAACTCTTTTTAATTAGACAATACACAGAATGAAAAGCAGAAATGATTTAGTGTATAATCTTAACAGTACAGCTAGCATAAATGGATGTATTTAATGTCTTTGCAGAAACAAGCATAGAAGTGAAAATGCAAAATGCAAAGGCAACAATTTTCTCCAAGAGTTTAAATTAAAGTGTTATTTGCCTTGGTCATCTGAGGACTACTGCTATTCCTTTAGTGTAATTTTTAATCATATCATAAGCAGAGGTAAAACTTGGCGGGGCGGGGGGGAAGAACTACTAATATCAGCACTGCATTTTGTTGTCTTTCATCAAAAGCAAACTAGAGAGCCAAACTGGTTAAGGGACAATGTGTGCTGACTCTCCATTCATGTAATGAATCATGCTTTGCAATTTTTATGCATGAACTAACATGATCCTTATTATCCTGGTGTAATATAGATTCATGATATTTGTATACCTATACTTAGAGAATTGGAGAAATACATAGGATGCTAGAAATCTATAATCATAAAAAATGGCAAGAAGTATAGTATTTGAAGGTACTTTTTTTTTAATAGACTGAAGCTTTATCTTCACAGGTGTAGCCTCAATATGGAGCTGGTTCTAGTCTTCCTTAAAGTAAATAATTGGAAAAAATTATAACCCATTTATCTAATTAATTTTGATTAAGGTGCTCTAAATACAATTGAGTCCAGATACATTTTACAGATATTTTAATAAGAGAGAAAGTTCTGATAGGCTATATGTACTAGCGAATATAAATAGTTTCAAAGAAAAGTATTGTTGCTATTGCTGTTGTTACTAATAGTACTTCGGGTTGTATTCCTGATATGAACATTTAAGTGCATCAATAGGAAATGACCAGGTCTGATATAATTGGATATAAAAGCACAAAATCCTGTTACTTTTGATGTACCTAATATCTTAAATATTAAAAGAAATAACTCAGAAAAATAGGAAATAAATTATAGATCAAGATTTTATTAAACAACTTGACTCCAATTTCTGAAATTTAATAGTGTTTTCTCACAGTCCATCCCATGTGTGGCCACTTAATCTTACTAAGCCACGCTCAAAGCAGTGGAACAGGTTAATAGTTGCTGCATTTTGCATTATTTTTAGTTTGATAGACTTTACTAATTTTAGCTTACTCGTATGTTTGTAAACTAAGGGAAAAAACAAATGTGAACTTTAAAAGAGTAAGTACAAGCAAGAAAATGGACTTTATCAAGGCTTCATTCTTAACAATTTTTCCAAAAAATCATAGAGAATGGGTTACTTTGTAAGTTTTGAGAAAACTTTTTTTAAAACTAACTAAAGTTATCTTAGTTATTTGATAAACATATGCATCATTTAAGCAAAAATGCTGGGTGGGAATTCTGTGAATTCTAGTCCAGTATAACTGGAGGTTCTGATATTTGGTGGCTCTGTAGTACTACATGTAAATTTTAACGGTTATATGACTATAACCATAGAGGTTAGTTGTGGTTTTCCATCTTCTGCTCCTTTCCCTTCCTCCCAGTTATATGACCTTTATAATTTAAATGTATCCTCTTCATAACTATTATAAAAAATAAAACCCTCCAGAATAATTTATACTCTAAAGAATGCTACATTGTCTTAAAATAGCAATTAGATTTGAATGTATTTCTCTTTATCAAACTTTTGCCAGTGCCTGTGTTACCAGTAGTTTATTAAAACAAGTTCAATTTTTGTCAGTTTAAAAATTATGGTCATTATAAAAGCCTATGGCTGTAATTAAGAGAAGAAGAAAAAAGAAAATAATGTGCTAAGGATAAAATAGAAATTCAGGATCAGACTTGGTATAAATAAAATTGATAAGAACGCATGCAGTATTGTTAAAATCATGTGCTTTCTTGGTCATAAAATTGGCCTTTGGCTTAAGCCAAGTTGTTGATTTCTGAGCCCTGTAGTTGTAATATAGGGATAATACTTAGTATTGCCCTGTATTTGAGGTGCTTCGAACATTCAGGCAAAGTTTTGTACATATATTATTATAGTTTTTGGTTTTTAAGTAGATTAGACATGGGTTTTCTCTGCTTTCCTCTTTTTATAACTACTTAGTACAGGCAGTCCTTATAACACTTAATTTAGTGACCAAAGTTACAAGGGCACTGAAAAATGTGATGTGACCTTTTTCATACTTACAACCTTTGCAGCATCCCCGGGATCCAAATTCAGATGCTTGACAACTGACTCAGATTTATGACGGTTGTAGTGTCCAGTGGTTGCCTTTTGCGACCTGAGAAGCAAAGTCAATGGGGAAGCCAGATTCACTTAACAACCAGGTTACTAACTTAGCAAGTGCAGTGATTCACTTAACAACTGTGGCAGCAAAGGTTGTAAAATGGGACAAAGCTCACTTAACAAATGTCTCACTTAACAACAGAAATGGGCTCAATCGTGGTCATAAGTCGGACTTCCTGTACTAGCAAATCTTTTAATTATATTATTAAGAATTCTTCATTGCTATGGAATGCAAATATATTAGGGTGTCTGTATTTTTTTAAAACTAGGGATGTTTTTATCAGGTCAATAGCAGATAAACCTCTTTCTAGGTTTCTTTCTCTCTTTCAGTTTTGGTTCTGTTGGTTGTTATCCAGATTTTTTTCCTATACAGCAATGCTGAGACCTATAGTTCAGGCTAGAATGGGACATACGCTTGTCCCTTCTATGCATTTTTGTCAGATTAATAAGAAAAATCTCCCTTAAAAAGAATGTTAAAAGTTGTAGTCTTTAATCTCTCATTTGGAAAGAGGTAAAGACTGAAATAATGCATGTTTAAATCTAAATATGTAAAGTTGAAATTTTATGTATTAAATTACAAAAATATAGTTAAAAGTATCACAATTTACCAGCAAAGTATGTTCCAATTTAAAATGATTTGCTGTTTTTTGCAACTGTTTCTAAGTAGTTTCTAGTTGTTTAAACATGGTGTATAACTTCCTATCTTCAAAGCATTTTTACATGAACAATACAATGTCTTTTGTGTAAAAATAAAGATAACTTCTGTAAAACCTGCTTATTTCTTTAATGTTCTAACTAATGTTCACTGGGAAGAATAGATATAGTTTGAGGTTGTAGCTTGAGTTTATTTATTGCTCAGGCTTTACCATTTTTCTGTCTACAATGCAGAAAAATAATTAAGAGTCAAAATCCTTTACAAGTGTTGCAAAGTTGCACAGTTATATAATAACTATGATGCGCTTTGAATACCATTGTCAATCAAATGACATTTAACAGAGAAGAAAATGCAGAAACAGTTTTTATATGTGAGTTGATGAGTGAAAAATCCAAGCATTGAGCGCACAATGTAAATCTTTTCTAGAACTTTCTGATTGTATGGATTTTGACAGCTTCAGTGATGGTAGATTAAGAATAGAGCCAGAATGGTTCTTAACTGTTACAGGGTTTGATTCCTACACATACATTTTTAAATTACAATCTTCACCAATTACTACATAGCAATTTCTGTCAATTGTATTTAATCCTTGATTTATCAAGGATTATATCTCATTATTGTGTATCAGCTATATTGTATTTGCATTTGGCCAATTTTATATAAAATGATACAGTAAAATTCATCCAGCTGTAAAAAAATTGTAATACAAATCAAATTAAAAGCACAATGTACATTTTTACTAAGGTATTTTTCTAAGTTATTTTATTCCTGCCTATTTCACTGGAGTTGGATATGCTATGCTTTAAAATATCACATTCTCCCAGATCACTGAAAATCATTGTTGCTTTCACTTTTTTCTTTCAACAAATGTTGAATTAAGCACAATATAAACATATACAGGTCGGTTTAGCTAATTATTGTGATCTGATCAGTTCATAGGCAGTTGAACAGTTTTATCATTTTATACAGTTTCAGATAATATATCTAGATAAAACCATTCCTTCTGTCATTTTAATTATCCTGAAGGAAATACAAGAAAGAAAAAAAAGAATTCTGGGTGAATATCTGAGCCGATATTTTGTTTTTTATTCATTCATACATTTTACTAAGATTTAAGGAGTCAGTCATCACAACTTGAGGAATAATTTTCCTGTTATGGTGCACCAAGATTATAAATGTGGATTATTTTAAAAACTGAATTACTTTGGAGTTTGCTTTTGAAAGATAAATCTTTTGTCTAGTGAAGGGACTAATTCTTTGTTTTACAAAACTGGTAAAATAGCTCTTCTGAAGTGTAGTCTTATGTTAAAATGCTTCCTATAGGATCCATGGAGGAGACTTAGAGTCCTTATAGGGTAATTTCAAGAGATTGTATATGTATATTTTCCCATACATTTATTGGGAAAACACCAGACAAGCACCAGGCATCTGGGTCAATTTGAATGCAGTAAAATGGTTCTGCTCACCGAGAACATATTGCTGGCAATTTAGTTACCTGAAATTTGTTCATTTCTTTGGCCAAAATGCAATCTTCATCCTTGATTCTAAGAAAAGAAGTGAGGTCAAAAGATTTAATTGTTAAATTTTGTTAAAAGTTGATTGCAATAAATAATTTCAGGTTTTCCTTTGCTTTTCGGGTTTTCCTTTATCCTTTGCTTTGTTGTTTCATGTTTGTTTTCTCTTTCAGTCAGCAATATATATCTGATTGCTAGTTATAAGTAATTAAAAATAGGTTTTAAGATACTTTTCCAACCCTGACTAAAACAGGGTTGGAAAGCGTAATAAAGAAGTGATCTAAATTAATCTGGAAAAAATGTACGCTAAATAGAAATTTCCAAAGCAATGTTTGTGTTTAAATACATTGGCTGAACGTTGACCAATAGAGCCAGTTTGGTAGTATGGTTAAAGCATAAAGAAATTTTGGAGACTGGATTCTAGTCCTGCCTTAGGCACAAAGAAAGCTTGGTGACATTGGGCCAGTCACTTTCTCTCAGTCCTAGGGAGGAGGCAATGACAAACAACTTCTAGAAAAACCTTGCAAAAAAGCTGCAAGAACTTTCTTGGCAGTTTCTGAGAATTAGACACGATTGAATGGGAGAAAAAAAAACACGTACATGCTACAGTTAACTAAATAATTATGTGCTCTGTACTTGGGACTTACCCTAATTAATTATTTTCCCCTTGAATGTACTCTAGTATCATTCATGATTTCTGGAGGAAAAAAAAATCTACCTAGCAAATGGAAATACATATATGGATACACATCCATATATCTCCCATAGTTCATTGGTAACTCTCTTAATTTCTCCTGCACTATTTCACAAAGAAAATCTAAGCAAATCAAAGGTACAGAGATTAAAGCTTGACTAATTACTACCACCATCTTGGTTTTCTTTAAGTTCTTCCTAAGTTTTGGAAGCCTATGGACTTTGACTGGGAGTCAAAGACCTGTGGACTTTGACTCCCAGAATGCCTGAGCCAGCCATGCTGGCTCAGGCATTCTGGGAGTGGAAGTCCACAAGTCATAAAAGAGCCATAGGTCCTAAGCCCTCTTTAAAGAGATAAAAATGATAATACGTTTATAATAAATTGTTAATTTGACTTGGATAGCATAGTAAAGGACAGGATGATGTTCTTTGCCTTTCTCTTCCTTAAACCTCATTTTGTACTGAAAGAAATAGCTGGTGAATGTCTTGATCAGTAAAAAGAAAATTCAATTTATTTTTCTTCAGAGCTACCTAATAAAGGAAGAAGGCTAAGAACAAAGTATTGCTGTAAAGACTCCTGGAGCTATTGTCTTGCCATTAGCAGACATTGTAATATTTAATCATTGCATTGTTTTGCTGCCAGGCTTGGCAAATTGAGAAGTTAGCCTTTGTAGATTGGCAGGCAAGGTAGTGGTTTTTAATTAGATATGGAAGGCATAATTCTACTCTCTTGGAGAAATTATCCAGAATCTAATCAACAGCACTATATAGGTTCTTCTCCTTGATTCAATTATGCATACAGGAGCATAATAAAACACCCAATGAAATCCATTTTCTTCTTGTCAATCTTCATGCTGTTCTTACCCAGACAACCTTTTTCCAAAATAAAACACAGCAGGTGCTTTAAGCCAGGATATCTAGCAAATCTCAGGTGAAATATAAAGCATTTAAATTCTTTGAGAGAACATGTTGAACAATAAGTTATATTTGTATAACTCCAATGAGATTTTGAACGGCCATATTCCATCCAAGTCCAAGTACTAAGTTGCTTTCAAACACAGCCTCAAGTAGATGTTTCTATTAGTAGAACCATGAAAAACTGAAAAGCTTTATTCAACACAAATAGAATACATGACTAACTCTTCAACATAAATGGATTGAAAAGGCAAAGAAACTATTTAATTGGAATGTGAGCACTACTAATCCAGAGTTTAAAGTGGTTAAGGACACTGTCCCCCTCTCACTTTTTTCCCCTTCCTCTTTTCTTTCATACGAATATATTGAGAGTGAAAGGACAGATGAGCCTTATGAGAATCATGATAATATGTTTGGCACGTCAGTTTTGAAATTAAGCTAAAGGCTGCATGAAATAAAAGTAAAGGTCTATGTACATAACCTTTGCCCGCTATATTTGACGTTATAAGTATAATATTTGCACTATATATGAATTATGCAATAACTTTTTCGAGGAACTCCAAAATATATATCCACCATTATTCCCAAGCATTTAACTTTTCATTATAGCTTTCATGCTGAACAAACAGAAAAGTCGCACAGTACTGTTTGTAACTGCAATTATATAGAAATGTCATTTCATGCATCAACACACATTCCTTTAGTTATTAATTTAGCTCTACCAATAGGTGGGGTGAGTCATTTTTCCCAAGGGACAATGGATGATTGGGGTGGAGAGGCAGTATGAGTCACTGGAAGTTGTTGTATGCTGACTCTAGTCTGCCCAGCGATACTATGATACTTGCTGCACATGAGCCAATCAGCGTGAATTCAGCTTGGCCATCAGTCTGGCTTTGTGCATGAGATGGATATAAAATGGGAAAATACCAGTTTCTTTTTGCCTTAGTGGCAAAGAAATGACATTTTTAAGAAAAGGCAAGTGTATAAATTCAACATATGTTCTTGCAAGATTTATATGAAATTGCAAATCCTGCTCTTCAATTTGGGCAGCTAGAATTGTGCAAATGTTATTGTCTATCTTTTGCATCTTCAATTAAAGTTAAACCAGAAAATCAGTTCAAAGACTGCAAACATCTCACATCCTCCTTTGATGTTGATGAAAATTCTCAGCCATTCAGGTAGAGTTGTCTGGAAGTTGAGGCATGGCAACTGGATTTCTTTTCTTGTTGCTTTGAAATGTTTTGTTGCTTATACAAGTAGCTTCTTCAGTCTGAGCAAGTTGGTTAGTTGGTTAGGGTGTTATGTCTTCCAGGGAGTTTCATGTTTCACTTAATCTGGATATGCTTATTAAGTGACTAGACAGAGAGTCATTGGAATGTAGATGTTCCAAGTCCTAAATCCTTTATCCTAGGTAGGTCACTAAGTGCAACCTCTCTGCTGAGCCTCTGAAGTGGTCCTAATCAATCTTGGGGATTGATGAAAAAGCAGCATAAAAAATATGCAGGTTGTGTCACCCCTATTGAGGGAAGAATTTTCCACTTTAGCATAAATGGATTCCTTCACTCCTCCCTCAAACCATCTATCTTCCCTGTCCAAAATGTGAATATTATTGTCCTCAAGAGTGTCCTTTTTCTTTTACATGAAGGTATGCTACTAATTCTGGTCCTGAGGTATGGATTCACCTGTGTTGGGCCATTCCCTTGTGTAAAGGCTGCTTGGTTTCTCCAATGTAGAGCTCTGAACACACTTCACTGCACTGGATTGAATACACTACATTACTCTTCTTACGTTTTGGTGTTTGATTTTTAGGGTTATTTTCTAATTATTTCCCAAATACAAACCCTGTAGGTCAGGGAATTCTGACTGGTGGGGCCAAGAAAGAAATCTGCTGTGGCCTTTGGAACATCTTTGCCCTTGAGGTGAGATTGGCTACCATCCTCCTGACTTCCACAAGAGCCCGAAGACTGTCCATAGCAATAGCAATAGATCAATAGCAATAGTTGATGGACCCCTGTACATTCTGCTCTTTCTCTCCCGATCTCTTAGTTAATATTGTGATTATATGTGGGTTAGGTCTTTTAGTTTTGTTTTTCTAATGTTCAGGGATGGTGCAGTGTGTTTGTGCTAATATGAATAGTATACTTACAGAGCTTCTCTTATGGAAGGTTGGGTTGTACTCTGGTTGTGGAGCACTTGGATGGTGTGGGTAGTTTTACAATAGACCTGTGCTTTTAATTTGTCATCACTGTTTCTGCTGATGAGGGTAGTCAGGAAGGTTGCATGAGTTGTCTTCTTCTCTTGTGTGTTTTATTCTTTTGAAAATGTTGATTTTGTGGGTTTTCTCTAGTTGGTCTTTTTTATTGTGGTATCTACATACTGGATCCAAATTTTGGGCTGTATGCGTGGGAGGGCTATAAATTCTAGAAAGTGCATTATTGTCTCTAAGAAAGATAAACATTCTAGTTTTTCTTTTGCCAAAGTTGGTCTCTGGCAGAGAAACTGGTCCTACCTAGTTTAGGTAGCCAAAACTAAAGAAAAGAACATCCTCCTTCTCTGGAAGGTTTGACATTATTGCAGAGCTACACATACTTCCCACAAAGCATGTTTGAAAATGCAG